ATTTTTTCTAGTCTTTATTTCTGCTTTGATCTTTTTTATTGTATCTAATGTGCCTACTTTTCCTCACTTCTTAAGGAGTAACATTGGATTGCTTCCAGTCTTTCTTCATTTTTGATGTGTTAAAATGAAGGGGGATAAACTTGCAGAATCATTTTTTGTTATATGCCGTAAGTTCTAGTGTATAGCAACATCTATTTTTATTTGTGTCAAGACACATTCTGAGGGGCTGGGGCTGTGTAAGTGCCTGCCTGGAAAGCATGAGTTCATGAGTTCAATCCCTGGCACTGAAAAAAAAAAGACATTCTAAATTTCCCTTTTTGTTTCTTTAGCTGTTTAGAAACATGTTAATGTATATGTACATTTTAAATGCCTCCAGTTATAGAGTTATAGTTTGTATTACTGTGACTGGAAAACATACTTAATTTCAATTTTCTTAAATTTGTTGAGGCTTGTTTTATGACCCATCAAATGATCTGTCCTTGATAATGTTCTGTGGATGCTTGAGAAGAATACGTGTTCTGCTGGGCGTGGGGCAGGAGGGTCACTGTGAGTTCAGAGACAGCCTCGTGAGTTCAGAACCAGCCTGAACTACACAGACTTCCGGAAAGAATAATATAGAAAGGAGGTGTGTTCCATGACTGATGGGTGTGGGATGTCTCATAAATGTCTGATGAGCCCATTGGTCTACACAGTAGTTTTTAAGTCTGTTTCCTTTCTGATTTTCTATCTGGGTGCTCTATTCCATGTCTAACTTTTTTTTTTACTTAAAAGTCTTTTTAATATAAATACAGCTAAGCTACTCTTGTTGTCTTTTGTTTTCCATTATTTATAATTTCACTTATTATAGCAGTGTGAACAGACTAAGACAGCAGTAATAAGGAAACATTTTCTGTAGGTATGACTTCTGAATTGGGCTCTCTTCATGTCTGGACTCCCTTCCTCTGCCTGCAAATATATCTTGCATACTTTTTTGTTTATTTGGCCAGGGTCCCATCCTGGCCCACAGCAAAACTGAATAAATCTCTTTACCTGGCTCCTCAAGCCACTATTAATCTTCAAATTAAAAATATTCTACCATTGCTGGCTCCTCCTTTCTCTATATGGCATTTGTTATTGGGCTTTTCAAACTATTACTGCCTAATCGTGCCTGTGGAAACAGAGGCATTCCTTGACTTGTATCTTTGATTGCGAGATGGACTTCGTGTGTGTGTATGTATACATAATTTTTATATGACAAAGAATAATACCTAGGAGAATATATTAGTCATGATGGTCTCAATTATGGTTTTAAAAGCTCAAGTCAAACCAGTTTAAGCAAAAAATAAAAAAAACAAACTACTTCCTGTAACTTGTCAGTGTCTTGGGCTCCGCCCCCTTTTCCACTCAGCTTACCTTCTGTTTGTCACCTATAATGCATTCCTCTAAGCCCCTCCATGTGCCAGTGATATGACCACCACTAGCTGTGGAGTGTCACTTAGTAATTTGTCATCTCAGTCGGGCATGGTGGCACACACCTGTTACCCCAGTACTTGGGAGACTGAGGCAGGATTGCTGTGAGGTCAAGGTCAGCCTAAATGACATAGACTTTGTCTCAAAAAATAGTAATTTGTCATCTCAGAAATTATATACTGAGAACTAGTCGCTCAAATGACATTTTGGCACTGTTTCTTTTCCGGGAGGCACCTGGAATATGGAATACCCCACCTGGTTATAAAAACCAAGATTCCATTGGCTTAGGCAATTGTTAAATATCATTGTCACATTGAAGGGTGTGTAGTGCACCACAGCTCCTCTGCTGCTCACCAAGATCATCAACTCTGTACCAGTAAAGGATTAAAGATACGACGTTTAAGGAAAGGAAGACATTTTACTTGTCAATTTATTGGAAAGGGGGGGAAAGGAGATATATAGATACCCTGATGAATTAGAATGGGCTCCAATGAGACAGGGGACCTGCAGGCCCTTGGTTTTCAGGTGCTTTTATTGGATGGCAGAAAGAACGTTTCCCTCAGAGCTTGTCACAACCTGATTGGCTGCTCTGGGCCCTAATACCCTCCAGTCCAGTATCATCACTGAGTAATGTGCAGATTCCTAAGTAGGCTTTATTTGATTTGGGTTTTTTTTGGTCCTGTCGGGCCCTATCTCTGAAACTTACAAACTAATTAGAAGGCATCATACATACAATCGTTGAGTTAGCAGTTAAGGGAAATATAGTGAGGGGTGTGTGTGTGTGTCTAAGTGTGGGAATATATTTCAAATACTAAATAAAGGATGTCTTAGCCAGGGATGGTGCTGTAATCTCTGCAGTCAGGAGGCTGAGACAGGAAGATCACCACGAGTTTTAAAGCCAGACTCAACTATATAATGAGTTCACAACCAACCCAAACTTACCAGGCACTGTCTCAAAAAAAAACAAAAAAGAGCTATCTTTTTGGTTTATCAGCTATCTCATAAATTGCTCTGAGTTTTAACTCCTTCTGGTCAGGATTAGCCAGAAAGTACAATGAGATCCTTATTTTATATTTTTTAATGTCTAGATTCTTCTGCATCATGATCACAAACAGAATTTAAACTCAACTCATTTTTTTCACTTAAGCAAGTTACCATAAAGGTATAGCTAATATTTTTATTAATAGTTTTTAAAGTTTGCATCCCAAGAGCTGAGTCCTACATATTTAAAAACAGATTTGTGTAGTAAGTTTTATTTTATGGTATAATAAAACAAGTTACTGACATGACGGTAAAGTTTACAGTCCAATGTGATTCTGGTTATTTGGTCAGTATCCAGACTGGATGCCTGCTACTGTGCTGCTGCTTCAGGATGTTAAAATGTTACATGACTAGAAGCATGTCAGAATATATCTGTTTGGGAACCATTCAGTGTGTGTTACCTCTGCAGAATCTTACCTATATTATAGAGTGCTTTCTTCAGAGACTCACAGCACCCTGTTCATGGGACAGGCTTAGAGCTGGCCTCTAACTGGCTTGTTATTTGAAATTCAGTTAATACTTCAGTATCTTCAGGGAAGCAGTCAGTTTACTCATCTTGGTGCACAATCAGGCCTTTAAATTAAAAGACTTCTCATTGCAAGGTGAAACATCAGTGCTGCACTGGCCAAACCATGCGAGTACTAAAATCTACAGTTGTAGAGTAAGTTTTATCTGAACCACCTTAAGAACTTCAAAAAGGGCTGGCACTCTGCTAGGATGCTCTAACAAGAGATGGACATGGCCCACGGAGATCTACCAGCTGGTCTTCACATGTAGACATCAAGAAATACAATGACCAGTGTCTGGACATCAGTCAAAACCTGTCTCTTCATTCAGAATATATTAACCAAATGTCTTTTCTATTTCAAGGTCCATGCCTGACAATGACTTGACACCATATACCAGTTCAACAAGTGCTAAGTTTTTATTCTTTCAGCTTTAGTTTGCTTTCTTCCATGGGCTAAGAGAATTATTTACTTTTATCTAAATTAAATCATTTAAATAACTGAGGTTTTTCTCTTTTGAAATACATTTCCAGTAGATGTTTTATACTTTATATTGATATTCTTAAGGGGCCTCAAAGAAAATCATGTATCAAGAGGTAGGAAAAATCAGCTCTAAAACTTATGTAAATCCATTTTATTGCATGTTATGAATACGTTACCATTATCAAGCAACTACTGTATATCATGTATTTTTCTTACATTCTTTGAATTTTTAAAAGCCCTTCTGTTTTACAGATGAAGAAAACAAATAGAATTTAGGTAACTGGTAATTTTCTCTGGCTACTGGCCAGCAATATTGCTCATCAGATCAAGCAGAAATAAGGTGACTATAATCCGGAGATCAATGGGGTAACTGTTGTCCAGGGTTAACTGGTTGAGTAAAGGTGGCTCCAAATTGCCTTTAGATGTAAATAGGTCTTACTTGAAAGAGGTTATATTTGTTGAACATGAGATTAATATTCTAGGATCTCTGTAGCTTTTTTGATTAGGCCACTGATGGTCCTAATGCATTACAAACAACTAATCTGAATCTGTTCTAGGAAGAAGCTTAACTTGCTATTAAGCATGCAGATTAGAGATTCTTCTCCAAACTGAACTTAAAGTACTTTGGTCTGATGAAAATAACAAAACTCAAGACACTCATCTCGATGAGAGGAAAACCCCAAACTAAGCTCTCTGAAGCATCAGCAAATGTGTTAAGTAGAAAAGACAGCCAAATTAAACCACCTCATCGGTACCATCCCAGGAGCTAACTGAGAACAGTCTAAGCATTAAACACCAACTACTACTGGAAAATGGCTTGAGAGGACTATGGAAATGGTAGGTTAAGAACCAAACCAACAGAGAAGAGTTAAAACAAAATAAAAGAACAAAACTTCAGGACGTGCCGTGCCCTAATAAAAGCTGACTACTATAGTGTTATGATTACTGTGCTACACACTGTTATGAAGAAAACATGAGTATACATAACATATATGCTGATATAGTGAGTTATCTACACTTCATTTATCAGCAAAGAGGAACCAAAAAGAAGGGGAAGAATCAGGAGAGAATAAGCCAAAGGACAGTTCAAAAAAGGAATACAACAGGCTCAAAGTGGTAAAGAGACCAAATAAAGTACCAAGAAGTGTCAATAGCTACCAATCTTTGGTAGTTGAAAAGAACTATTTCAGTAGATTATTAAGGGCAAAACAGTGTATAATAGCTTTAGGAAGGAAAGAAGAAAAAACTTCAACTTTCAGTTCCTGCTAACATGTACTGAGTAACTATTATGTTTACTGGCAATTGGACAGGAGTATAGAGACAATTTTAAATTTTTCTTCAAGTACTGTGAGTTCTGTTGCCTTATAAAGTATTCAGTGCCACAATTCACTAGCATGCTTTGTATGTGCTACAGTACATGCTGTTTAAAACAAAGAGTGGCATAAAAGAGTTAACATAAATACTCAATACAGTATCAGCCTTATGGAAAATATTTTCACGAAGATAACAAGTAATCCATGGTTGTATCCACCGACTTATTTCTTTATTCCAAGTTATCAGTCCTGTAGCTAAAGAATGTAAGGTCATTTAGACATTTCTGTAGCATCAAATTCTATCTTCTTGAAAGGAAAGGCCTTCCACCTTGGGTACTGTTTCTGAAGTCCAGTGACAATATCCTCCACCACAAAACTTTCAATCTTTATGACTGGAATCTCAAATGTCTTGTACCTCACATGTATTCCCCAGTCATGTCCACAGTTTTGTCTGGCACAAAATATCTTTTCTTTCTTTTCAAAATTTCCATAGCTCAATGGTTTGGGGTGTGGTTTACTTACAAAGTGCTCCTTAAAAGCATCTCCAATCACAGTATAATGAGATTCCTAAGATGAAAAGATTAGACAACATAAAATGTTAGAAGTAATCTATAGGGGCTGGGGATTTAGCTCAGCGGCATAAGCGCCTGCCTTGCAAGCAGGCAGTCATGAGTTCAATCCCCGGTACCGATAAAAATGAAAAAGAAAAAGACAAAAAAAAAAAAAGAAGTAGTGCATAATTGTAACTTTAAAACATCTCACAGTAATCGGAATTGAAGAGCAAGTAGAATCCTTATTTTACAGTAAAGTAAATAATGGAGGCACCTGTAGTCAGATTAGGATCCATTTATAGTAAGTTCCCAACTTATGAATATTTGAGTTGCAAACTTTCACAAACACAAACAGACCTCGTATTACTAGCATTCATAGCTTCAAACATCACAAAGGTGACTCACATGTTGCAGAAGTAGCTCACATGTCTGCGGAACTGTCACACCTTTGCTGCTGTATGCTTAGTGCACAGTGTGTGTGTTTGGAATTTTTTTATGTTTTTCATTGTATGTTTGTGTCAAAGGTGTATAAGATACTTCATTGAACTTACAAAGGAACCCTTGTGACCTCTTATGCAGCAGGGAAAGGTAGTATTTATATACATTTGACTCAGTTTGCCAAAATACCAATGTCATACATGCCTTCGTATATTTGTTAAAACTACGAAGATAATATCTGTACATTACTAGCAACTAAATTACTGATTTTTCCACTAAAATATGTCTGTTGTAGGACCTAATCAAGGATACTACATTGCATACAGCATAACCATTATTTTTAATAATAATTTAAGTGGCAGCATTTTGTTTTGTTTTGTTTTATTGAGACAGGGTCTCACTATATAGTGCAAGCTGACCTTCAACTAAGTATCCCAGGCTGGCCTTGAACTCACACCGTTCCTCTTGCCTCAGCTTACCAAGTGCTAGGGTTACAGGCATGGGCTATCACACCCGGCTCATGGCAGTGTTTGTAAACTTTTTTTACTTATATCTTTAATTGACAAACAATTGTATTAAAGAATAGGGCATAATGTGATAATCTGGTATATGTATCCAGGAGGTGATGCTCAGAGTAATTAACACTTCCATTTCTTTAAACCTTTGTCATTTCTTTGTATGGTAAGTCTTCAAGCTCCTCATAGTACAGTTAGAGACAAAGGAGTTAAGGAAGTCACTCCCTTTCACCCATTTAATTTTAGCACCCTAGGGCCAGTCTTACTTCACTGTCCTGAGAGACAGAGCATCAGAGAACAGAAACCCAGGTTATCTCAGATCTTGTAGGTTAGCGCACGTAACCTAGCCTAGGTCTGGATCCTCTAGCCAGACCTTCAGTCACCTTCACCCTGCCTCAACCTTACTAAAAGCTTATGAATATGTATGGCCACTCATATATCTCATTAAGATCAGAGTGGATTCTGGGATAACAAGTGTGTTGAGAATCTGGAGATGACACAGCATGTTGTCAGTCAATAACACCTGGAGATTCAGGGGAGGCACCTAAGCACGCACTTTAAATTCCATCTGGAAGTGGGTGCTGGGCACGGGATCTGTATGCAGACTTACGTTTTCCAGTCATAGCAGCACCACTTCTCTTCATGCCACACTTTGATGATACGGACTTGCCCTATGCACACCTTTCCATGACCCTCAATACATGTAGCTGCCTTCTGCCTGCCATCTGGTGTGCGGGCAGTGGATTACTCATCATACGTAAGAGCCTGGGTTATACCTGCTAAATTCATCACATGATAATGTTCTCATTTAATGCTGCATAAAATATGTAAAAATTGTTGTGAACTACAGTTATCCACTGTGCTCAATAACTCCTAATAGTATTTTGGTACCTGTTATCTGGTCACTCTACTCCTTTCCTCACTACCATTTCTGGCCTCTAATGACCAATAGTCTATTCACTACTTCTGTAAGACCAACTTGCCTAGCTTCCATGTATCAGCAAGAACGTGGCACTTTTTAGGTAGACGGACCAGGGCCACAGTAAGTAATACTATTCTTATGTTTCACCAATAGACAGTAACAGTGCTAATAAGAAAAAAACAGGTATTCTGTATCAAAAGGCTGCTTACCTCTATCACCCGTATATCAGCTGTGTAGCATGCCAAGACTTTGCACTTCGCACAGAGCAGTCTTTTGTTTTCCTTATCAGGGACAAACTTTGATTTGGGCTGACTATCTCTGATGAATTTTTCTTGATTCTGTATATGGTAAATCTACATGCCAAAAGAAAAGCCTCAAAAGTAACTCAAGTAAAACCAGCATATACATTGATAAATGCATGCATACACACATATATACATACATAATCATTCATATATAACTTATGACCATATGATATCTATTTGTATTGTTTGTAAATATCTCATAGATAATTTTACTGGTTCTCCTAACTCATTATTCAATGCTTCTAATTAGTCTTGAATTGAACTCAGGACCTCATATTTTCAAGCAAGCACTGTGCCACTGAGCTATATCCCCAGCCCCTCCAATGAAGTCTTTCAATACCTTCCTCAAAGATGTCTATAACAAGACAGAAGGTGTTCATTAAACAGTTACATATGCTTTCTACAGTTGGCAAAACTTTAGAAATCCTTCACAAATAGCTACATAGTATGGACTATTTCAGGAATAATTATACCCACTGCAGGCATAAATCAAATGAGTGGAACAGGAAAAAAAAAGCCCCTACCATCTAAAATATTTTCTTTCTCCCTTTCAACCAAAAAAATACTGCTGAGTTCTTTATATATATATATATATATATATGCATATATTGTGACTTTTCTAAATCAAAATTTAGGCACTTGGCTAAGAACACCCAAGAACCCTGGAAATTATATATAAAAGACTTCAAGGGTGAAGCAGGGAAGGCAGGCCAGCCAGGAGACTTATAGTCCTGGGAATAAAACAGTGGTCACCTCCCTGGGTTTTCTCTTCACCTGATATATCCTAGACTTGGACATGAAGAACTTGGTGGCTTGAAATACTATACGTAAAGACAAAAAAGTTTCAACAAAAGCCTGCTTTTTCTTACCAAAGGACCAGAATAGTGGACAGCTTAGTGGACAGAAAACTTAAAAGACAATAACTGTTTTACTCCACAGGAAAAAAGAAAAGAAACCTGCCCAACCTCCCCCCACACATCAAGTGGGAACTTGATTTTCTACCTCTCCAAGCTGCAGTAAGGTAACCCAATATCTGGACATACAGGAAGCCAGGGCGTGCAGTGGGTTGACCAGTAGTGTAGCCCCCTTCGCCCTTCATCCATGGTGCCAGTAAGACCATCTAGGGAGATCAACTCCAGCCAGCAGTGACCAGCAGAATGCCCCACCTGCTGGTATCTGTAGGAGGCTGAGTAGAAACCTAGATTCCTACCTCTGTGTGCATGCAGTGATGATGTGTTTAAAAAAAAAAAAACAAAACAAAACCTAGTTAACACAGAAGATTAAATAGTATCTAGAGTCTTATAAAAAGTCTGGATTTTTTTTTAAATCAACACTCATAACAAGAAACATTAAGATCTAAAACTGAATGAAACAATGCAATCAATGGATGTCAGTACCAAAATGACCAAGATGTAAGTCTGAAAACGATGTTAAAACAGCCATAATAACACTTCAATGAGCAATCAAATATTCTTAAAACATGAAAAAGTATAAATGGTCTCAATAACCAAAATAAAAAGCTCAGTGGATCAGCTCACCAGAACAATGGAGGGGACAAGAAAAAATCAAATAGAAATGATCCAACCTGAATGAGAGAAGAAAAAAAAAGACTGAAAAAAAAGACAGAACTTTAGGGCCTATCAGACTATATAAAAAACAAACCAGTCTGGGCTTAGAGTGTACATCTATAATCCAGAGTATACAGCTATAATGCAGAAGGACTGCAAATTCTAGTCTAGAATGGGCAATTTAGGACCTTGTCTCAAAATAAAAAGATAAAGATCAATGGGGATGCGGCCAAGGGGCAGAGCACTTTGTTAGCATGCGTGAGGACCTCAGTCCAATCCTCAGGACCAGAAAGAAAAAAGCTAAGCCATGGGGACTGCAAGCTTGAGAACAGTTTAGGCGATTTAGTGAGACCCTATATCAAAATACAGAGGTGGGGATGCAGCTCACTGCAAAGGGTATTGTTTTAGTATTTCTGATTTCATGCTTCTGTGTTACAAAAGAAATTACAATATGATTAAGGTCGCCATGGAGCAGATAAGCCACTCAAGTAAACATTCTAGCACCTGTTCTGCGACCTGGGAGCTTTTCTCTGCCAACAGAGATTTAAGAAAAAGATGAAGAGCTGTGTCTTGCAGTACCACAGAGTGGTCCTCAAGATGAATTGTCAAATTAACAGCAAATATCTAGCTCAGTTTGACCATTAGATATAAAAACAGAACTTCATGTAATAGCCCTAAAATGTATTTTAATCCCATTAACACTTAAAATACTAATTTTAGCTAGAGTCATATAGCTCAATGGTCGATTGCTTATCTAACATGTGAAGCCCTGAGTTCAATTCCAGTACCACAGACAGACAGACAGACAGACACACACACACACACACACACACACACACAGAGTCAACAAATTTAAAATGTTCACTACAGCACAAAACTGTAAATATAAAGTTACTGTTCTAATACATTCTAAACAATATGCTAAAGTATACTAACCATGCTCATGTTCCCTATTCATGTTTATGATCAGATCCTAAAGGAGTAACAGACAGACTTACTCTTTTTTGAAATGTTACTTCATCCCACGTCTGAAGTCTTGAAATGGAGTCATTCATCATTTTCTCCTTGATTATGTTTATATGTTCTTTTTCAATTACATCAGCATTACTGCTCAGAAGATAGCATTTGCTGCCTTTTGCTCTTCCTCTGCCTACCAGGAAATAAATATTTTGTTTTTGACTTAAACTTGATACAATAAAAGAATAGATGAAAGAGATATTCCTAAAATTTAATTATGGTCAATGAATCCTGCTTCTTAGAGAAGTCAAACTGCTAAAAGGGTAGATCAAATGCAGGCATGTACCTGTATGCCACACACACAGATAAAGGAGCAGCCCACCTAAGGCTAACTTTCTTGGGCTATCCAGCATACGTAATCCACGTACTTGTGGCTCCTACTTGTGCCTCTACCATAAATAAAGACAAAAATGACAGACACACCGACACACGAAATGGGAGCCATGTCAGAAGGGCATCAAAGCTTCTCACCTCTAGTCTGGATCATTCGGATGACATTGCCTACATACTCGTACAGGATAACCAGATTGCACTGTGCAATGTCAATGCCTTCATCAGCAACGGAAGTAGCAATCAGAATGTTGTCTCCATTCGATCTGAATGTATCCAGTACACACTTCTGTGCTGGGAGGGTCATTCCTGTGTCAGAGTTAAGGGCATTAAACAACTCACCAGAGAAGGGAACTTCCCCTTGGAAAACCTGGCTATAATTATGGAATGCTTATCACAGGCTAGGTACTAGTGACTGCTTTACATTCATGATCTTCCAATAACCCTAGGCAGTAGAGTCCTTTCCTGTGGCTGTTTATCTTTAACAGCTGGGACTCGGTCATAATACCACCCTGAGCTCCAGTCTCAGTTCTGACACCTACTAGCAGCGTGTTTTTGGCCCTGTCATTCCAAAACAAATATTGAAATATTGACCATTTCATAAAAATATCAACATGATAATAGTGTAAATGTGTATGGGAGTTTACAGCTGACAGAACCTTTTCACAGCTGCTCAGTGCAACTTCACAAAGTCTTACGAGGTCAATGAGGCAAGTGTTTTGACTCCCCTTTATAAATAAGGGGCTTTAGATTCTGGAGGTGAGGTAAACTGACAAGCTAACAAGTGGAAGAATTGAGCCTTGAACTTAAGTCTATGACCCAAATAGTGTGTACTACTAGAGTATCTTCCCATCCTAGCCTATCCCAACATCCCTGCCTTTTTAAGTATCAGTGCTTGCCACACTCTCTGGGGTAAAACTAAGGGTGAATAAGGGCATGCAGTATTATGTTCTCTATCAAAGAACTGATACTATCTCTATTCGAAAAAACCCTATTTCTTTCTGCCCCTGGGAACAAAGCTGAGTTATAAATCCTAGCTTCTCCTGCGCTTAGATGGGGCAGAAATAATCCATGTTTCTTCCAAACCTGACCTGACCCTAGAATATTCTTATTCCTTATCTGTGGGTTAGAAAAAGTTACAGTAGAGGATCAGAACCCACTGAAATAACAAAGCCATCACAAAGAAGGAGCCTGAGTGCACAAATAAGAGGAGGTGCATGGAGCAAAGGTCCACACTCACTCCTCTAGTCTTGGACTATAATGGAAGCAAGCAGTCACTTGTATTGTTACATTCTTGGGGTTTGTTGGAGCATCAGATTACTCTGACTTAACTAAAGTCTGTTCGCCTGGCGAGAGCTACTGGGTTAAAACAAGCACTTGAACCACACTTAGTCTATCAGAGTTTCCCTCATAGAACCTGGAATTGAGATTTTGAGACAGGTAGTAAATCTGGAAGGTATGGGGAGTACATGAATGAAGAATCAGAGACAGCAACTTATAAAGGGAAAAGAGTGAAACAGATGAACAAATTCAGACAACCTCCCAATCTCAGTTGCAACTGTCCACAAAGCCCAAGTACAATTCCTGAGAGCAGGTTCTATGCAAATCTGACCAAATCTGAGCAGCTGGCTCTCCTTACTTGGATCAGGCCAAGTGGTTTCTGTTAATTGGAGGAAAGGACCTTGCATAAGATAGTCAGAAACTACTTTCTAATACCATATGATCCTGGAGATAATTTAAGTCATTCAAACATAGAGTGAAGTTAGGATGTAGTAATCTTCCAGTTCATTTGATTATGGCAGTACCCACAATGGTAACTCAAAGACACAGCTACATTTAAATATTTGTTGAATCACCTTATGATCTCCACTCTCCAAAGAGAAGACCTACCTTGGGCAGGAAGAGAGATTATATTACCTTCCTTTGCCTAGCTGGCAATGGGATCCCAGTTTTTTAAAAGACTCTTCCAAGTTTATAAAAATTCAAGTGCAGTCAGTTTTATTTTTAGAACGTTTCTTAAAAATAAATACTTGTATATTATTAATTTTACTTTGGAGTGTTCTTTAAAATTTGTGAAAGATGCAGATCTAGATTTCTTTTTGTTAAAGATGCGTACCTAGCATTCATTTCTTTTAAGTCCATGTATTCTCAGTAAAACCAAAATCAAACAACTGAATCACAGATACCATGTAAAAACTCTATATGTGACTAATGGCTAATGTTTAGCTTATATTGAGTACTCACCATGTGCCAGGCACTATTCTAGACTAGGAGTTGGCAAACTTTTCTTTAAAGGCTGGGCATTAAATACTTTTTGTTTTGTGAATTGGGCTGTCATAACTACTCAACACTGCCTTTGCAGCATGAAAGCAACCAGAAAACACATAAATGAATAAGCATAATTATGTCCCAACAAGACATTTAAATTAGAACTTCATGTATCATTCATATATCATAAAATATAATTTGCTTTTTTGAACCACTTAAAATGGAAAAATTCTTCTTAACTAGTAGGTCATGCAAAAGCACAGAGAAAGCTGAATTTTGCTATGCATTCACATTAGCCCTAGGAGCTAGATACTGTTACTATTTTTCCATTTTACAGATGAAGAAAATGAGGCACCGAGATTAGATAACTTGATTATTCACAAAACAGGAAACCTAAAGATGGCAACAGAAATAGGAATTTAAGAATGTTCAGATTTAGCAACTTTTGCATATTTGTTTGCAGCTTTTTGTAAAACTTCTCAGGGTTTTTTTTTTTGTTTTTTTTTTTTTTTTTTTTGTAAACATGAGATTAACATGATGTGAAAGGAAGAGGAATAGGCCAGAAAAAAAATTCAGGCAAAATTATTTTACTGCATCTATTCATGACCAAACATTTATTCAGCAACTGTAGATTACGGTTTGTCAGCTAACAATATTATACTTAAAGAACCCACTTTTACCCCAGCTCCTATTTTGTGAAAGAAATGGACTGGAGACCATGGCAGTGCGGAGAGTTCACAGAAGATGGCTGTTTGGAAGAGGCCTGTGCTGACCCAGAGAAGTCCCAAGTACATGTTGGATGTACAGGTGAACAAAGAAAGAAGAAAAATGTTTTCTGAATGCTCATTTGTAGGAAAATAACAAAGTCAGAAATCTAGTTGGACTCAACAGTGGAGTAAGATTCCGGAGAACTCTGAATTCTAATCATACCAACATGGTATTGAGCTTCATGTGGTAAAGCACATTTTCAGAAATCTGAGTCTGGAATTCATACTCATAAAGTTTATAGATTCTATGTGGGGAGGTACAGGTATGATGCCGCGGGCTAGGAGGGCAGGAAGAGGCAGGTGACCATTATAAATCAAACCAAGTAAGAGCAGCATGAGGCCCTGCATTGCAGGGCATAGATTACAGCATGAAATATTCTTCTTACGGGGTGGGGAACACAGCCATGTGGAAGTATGGATGAGGGCTGACCAAGGATCCTCCCAAATCTCAAGATTCTTTAATCATTCTAGCCAGATTTCAGAATTGTTTGTTTACACTTTTTAAACTGTATAATTTATATACTATACAGAAGAGTTGTGTATGTGCAGTTTAATAAAGAATAACAATACAATAGAAATAGAATGTTTCTATTTCCAGTTAATCTTACATCACTAGGTAGGTATAATCTATTCAGCTGAGCTTTTTAAAGATTTGGCTTTTCCTGAGCTCAGAGATTTCTAACAGCTCATGCTTGTAGGGTCCATCCTATTACTGATCTTTCCTTCCTCATTCCTTGCCCTACAGGTCTCAGGCTGCTTTGCGAGCCAAACTCTGTAAGTCAATATCTTTTAAGAAATCTCTGTGCACTCATGAATGTAGAAACATGTATAAATACCATATTTAGGCACAATATCTTACTGATTTTATTTCTCTGGGTTAAACCCTAACTGATAGAAGCATTTAATAAAGAATCTGACTATATTATATATTTATACATATTATACTAAATCTAATTAACTATATATAGTACCTGTTTTATTACTTGTTTTGCCACGTCCAGTTAATATGCCAGGCTTTAGAAAGTTAAGTGCAGAATTTTCTTCAATCCATTTTTTTAAAGCCTAAAAATGAAAAGTAATTATCAGTTTGCCACTACTTGTAAATCCTTCATATTAATTCAATATTGAAATATATATATAAAAGGGGCTGGGGATTTAGCTCAGCAGCATAAGCGCCTGCCTTGCAAGCAGGCAGTCGTGAGTTCGATCCCCGGTACCGATAAAAAGGAAAAAGACAAAAAAAAGAAGAAGAAGAAGAAGAAGAAATATATATAAAAAAGCAGTATTAATAAACAGATGGATTTTATACTGACAAACCTTGAACTTCAGACAATAATTAACTCTATGGTGTATATACCTTTGTGGCTCATTATGATTTAAATTTCAAGATATAGTGTAAATAAAAAAGCAAAGTTCATAGGAGTAAGTACAGAGAATTAGTAAGTCTGTTCAGCAAGGCTTCAGGAAACAGATCTGCAATGCAAAATCAACTGTATTTCTATGTATCAGCAACAAACAAATGCAATTTTAAAAGTACCATTCATAATAATGTTGGAAAAATTAAAATGTAGATATAAGCTTAAAAAATATAAAATCCCGGGGCTGGGGATTTAGCTCAGCGGCATAAGTGCCTGCCTTGCAAGCAAGCAGTCGTGAGTTCGATCCCTGGTACCGATAAAAAGGAAAAAGACAAAAAATATATATATATATATAAAATCCCTATGCTAAAAATTATGCAACATTTACAAAAGAAACTGAAGATGTGGTAGGTAGCCTCTAATGTAGCTTTCAAAGATCCCTACCTCTTGTATTCAAGTCACCATGCAATTCTCTCTCCTTGAATATAAACTGAACTTAGTAGCTTGCTTCTATTACAAACATTATGGAACATCAGTTGTGGGATGAAGTTATAAAATGTGTCTGGTTTCCAAGTTACACAATCTTTCACTCATCTCTCTTGAATCACTTACTGTAAGGAAATCTACCTGCCATGCTGGGAAGGAAAAGTTCACATCAGTGAACTTGGAAGCACATCTTATGAAGCCTCTCAATAGTCATGTTAAGGAAGCTTGGAAGTTAATCTTCCCCAACAGTCCCTAGGATGACTACAACCATGGCCAACACTTTGATTGCAGCCTCATAAGAAACCTCAAACCAGAAAAGCCCAGTTTAGTTATTTCCAGATTCCTGATGCTTGGATATTATAATATAGTAAATGTTTGTTGTCTTCTGACACTAAGTTTTGGGATAATCTGTTACTCAACAAGAGCTTAATTATATAGAAGCCCCATATAAAAGAAGATATATCCTGCAGTAATGGATGAGAAAACTCAATATTGTTAAGATGTTATTTCTCCCCAAATTAGTCTATAGATTCAAGGCAAACCCAAATATTAAGCAGATTTTTTTCACAAATATGAATATCTGATTTGAAAATGTATACAGGAAGGCAAGGGAACATGGCTAAAACAGCATAATAAAAAAGTTAAAGACCTCACACTACCTCATTTCAAGATTTCTACCTAAAAAGAGAAGATAACACAGTACTGGAAGAGAGTACAAAATCCTGATTTTTCATCTCTGTTCCCTAACTATAAATTGTGTGACTCTGGATCATGAACAATGGATGTAATATTACTAGTTTTTCTCAAATAGTCAAAACAAAAGACTATAAGTCACAGTAATCAAAACAGTATAGTATGGGCTGAAGGACAGATGTGTAGGTCAAAGGAACACAGTGAAAAATACAGAAAGAGTCATGCAAATATGGTCAAATGATTTTCTTTTTTAAAAATTACTAAGGTAGTTTCATTGAGAAAGAATAGTCTCGGCAACATATGATGCTATAAGAATTAGATGTGGATATTAAAAAAACAGCATCTCAATTCATCTGTCATACCAAAATTAATTCAAAATGAATTGTAGGCCTAAATATAAATTGTAAAATTATGAAATTTCTAAGTTGTTTAGAGAATACAAACTCGTAAAAAAAAAAAAAAAAAAGAAAGAAAGAAAGAAAGAAATTTCTAAGTCGTAACACAGAAAAATCTTTGTGACCTTAGGTAAGTAAAGGGCTCTGAGATGTAAAAATTACTGACACAATACAGAAAAAATTTATAAACTACAGTTTATCAAAACTTAACATCTTTCAATTTACAAAAGATACTGCTAAAATCACAGAAAACAGGCATGCCATGGCATGTAAGAAAATGTTTACAAATCACAGGGCTCACAAGACTTTTTAACAGAATAGAAAAAGAATATCCAGTGGGGGAAAGGGGAAAGGAAGAAAGGGAAATGGATAAAACATATGTGTACACAAGGGAGTTAAGATAGTTACATAGCTGGCTTCTCTTAGTCCCTTGAAAAGAAAGTTTGTGCAGTGAGACATGCTTTCTTGACCCATATAAGTGTTTTCAAGTTGTATTTTCATTTCAACTATCAAGCAAAGTTACAAACACTAAGCAGACTTTTTTTCCCAAACTTTGCTGTTGAAGTAGTGGAAAGTTTGAGCTTGGAGCTGTTTGACAACGGAGGTCTCGCTGTATGAGAAAATGAAGCAACAAAATGCCTCCAAAAACTCCCATTTTCTCCCAGCTGACTGATAGGACACTGATGAGGAAATCAAAAGTCAAATGGCTGAATTATAAAACTAGATAAATAGAACACAAAAACATACCCCAGATCAATAAGGTGCTCAGGGAGCTCACAGATGATACAACTATATAGAAAAAGGACAACGCAATGATCCAAACACTTAAATGACACCCTAATAAAAAGCTAGCTGAGCTTTAAAAATTGATATAAAACATGAATGAACAGTTCAGCAAAGAATTAGAAACCATGAAAGAGCACCGATTAAAAATTTTGTTGAAAGTATGCTCAGCGTAAGTGATCAACAGGAGGAAACAGTGTGAAAGACAGATCTCATACAGGTAATGCTATAGTCATAGATACCATAAAATTAACAAAAGATATGGAAAATGGACCCAGCTGCTGAAAGACAATGCAAAGAATGCAAAGAAGACTAACCTAAGATAAAATGGAGTTAGTAAAATCCTGGAAGATGGCATGAATGGCATAAAAAACATGTTTGTAGAAACTACAGCAGAAAACTTTCCAAGTATAGCAAAAGAATACAATATACAGATAAGTGACATATAAAGAACACCAAATAACCACAATCAGAAAAGAATATCCCCACATCATACTCAAACTCCCAGAAATCCAACACGATGATAGAATCTTTCTGTTAGAGAAAAAGAAAAACTCACAGACATAAAACTATAAGAATTACATTAGACTTTTAAAAACAAACTTTTACAGCCTGTAGAGCTTGTTGTAATAATGTGTTTCAAGCCCTAAAAGTAAACAGCTTCCAACCCAGATTATTATATCCTGTACAACAATATCAAGATTTATGGAGAAATAAGGCATTTTATAGCAAAGAACACCTAAAAAAAGTCAGGACCTGCAAACCACCTCTATAAAAAATTGTCATGGATATTTTAGAAAGACACAATAAAATCAATAATGCCAAAAAGTCTAGTGGAATGAATATATCTGGTAAGACGAATAGTTAAGCAGAATGGAGAAAAAGGGGAGCAACAGGAAAATAATACAAGTACAAGAGTAAGTCAGTAGCTTTCAGTAATACTTCTAAGTGAATGGTCTCAATTCCCCAATCAAAACACCTTTTGGCAAATTAATTAAAAAACAAAAACCAATACTACATAGAAATAAAATGTAATTATAAAAGAAATACACAGACAAAAAAAGCAAAGAATGGAAAACAGTATGTCATGCATGGAGAACCTAAAAAAAAAGCAGGAGTAATTATTAACTTTTAGAAAAAGTAGACAGTAAGGGAAAACTGTTCAAAAGAAGCAAATAAGGTCATCACATATTGGTTAAAGAAACATTTCAACAGGAAATTAATTATAAACATTAGTGTACCAAACTTCAAACAACAATGAGCAGATAAACATAATTGAGCAGATAAGTGAGAAAATAAACATAAACACAATTGTAATGGGGGACCTCAGAACCCCACAGCCACAAAAAGATCAATTAGATAAAAAAATCAGTAAATATACATCAGAGTTGAATCAAACCTTCCAGCTTAATAGACAGCTACATAATGTTCTACCCAATCATAACAGAATACACATTTTTTCTTAGCAGTGTAATGTAACTTTCTCCAAAATAGACCACATACTAGCCCATAAAGCATGTTTAGGTAAATACAAAATAATCAAAATTATCCTGAAAATATTATCAGATCATAGTTCCATGAAACTAGAAGTCAATAGCAAAAAAAAAAAAAAAAAACCCAAGGAAATTATGCAAACACATGGATAATAAACAATACACTTTATATAACAACCAGTTACAGAAGAAATTAAGAAAAAATTACTAGTTCCTAGATCAAATGATAATTCAAGTACAACATAGCAGAAATTATGGAACAATGAAACAAGTCCTAAGAGGGAAGTTTATAGCTGTGAATGCCCACATCAGGAAAAAAATGTAAATCCAAATAAATAACCTAATGATATACCTCTAAGGCCTAGAAAAACAAGAACAATCCAAATTCCAAGCTAGTACAAAGGAAGAAAGCATAAAGATCGAGCAGAAATTAATGAAATTGAGATAAAAAAAGGAATAAATGAAACAAGGAGCTGACTCCTTAAGACTAAACGAATAGAAAATTTCTATTCAGTCTTACCAAAAGAAAGAAAAGACCCATATCAATGCAATTAGAAATGAAAAAGGCAAAATCATATGAGACACTGCCAAAATTCATTAATATTACTAGTAATTATTTTGCAAATCTATACTCCAATAAACTAGAAAATCCAGAAGAAATGGGTATTTCCTAGGTACATATGAATTGCCAAAATTGAATTGAGAAGACACGAAAACCCTGAATTATTCAATAATAGGTAGTGAAACAGAAGCAGTAATTTATAAAAAAAAAAAACTTACCAACTAAGAAAAACTCAGGTCCAGATGCATTCATTTAGAGATCTAATACCAATACTCAAACGCTTTTAATGAAATTGAAAGGGAAGGAGTACTCCCCACATCCTTCTGAAAGATAGCATTACTTTGATTCTAAAACCAGACAAGGACTCAGCTAAAAACAAAACAAAATAAAACAAAACAAAAAACCAAAACTATAGGCCAATCTCTTTAACAGCTGTAGATAAAAAGCTCCTCACAAAATACTAGCAAATAATGCAACAAATCATTGCATTAAAAAGTTCATACATCAAGACTAAGTAGGCTTCATTCCGAGGAAGCAAGGATGGCTCAGAAATAAATGAATGTAATACATTACATTAAACAGAAGCAGAGACAGCAAGTATGTGATCATCTCAATACATAGAAAAAGTCCTTAACAAAATCCAACATATATTCATGATAAAAAGCCTGACGGGAGGAAGACCTTCTCTTAATCTGAATAAAGACATTTATGACAAATATATTGGCCACATCACATTAAATGGGGAAAACCCAAAAATTTTTCCTCAAAAATCTGGAATAAGAAAAGGATGTCCATTATCATCGCTCCTATTCAATATAGTACTCAACACTTTAGTCAGAGCAATCAAGTAAGAGAGATAAAACATAGATACAGGAAAAGAAGAAATCAACTATATTCACAGACATGACTCTTTACCTAGAAAACCGAAAAACTTCCACCAAAAGACTCCTAGAGGTAATACACAAAGTCAGCAAGATAGAAGGTTACAAAGTCAACACACAGAAGTCAAAAGTATTTCACTATACCAATAATGAATCCACCAAGAAAGAAATTTAAAAAACAATATCATTCTCAATAGTTTCAAGAAAAATTGAGTATCAGAATTAACTTAACCAAAGAAATGAAGGTCCTCTACAGCAAAAACTACAGTACTCTAAGAAAGAAGATTGATAGAACCAATATTGTTCTGGATAGGCAAAAGTAATATTGTCAAAATGGCAATACTATCAAAATTAATACATAGATTTAATGTAATCTCAATCAAAATAACAGTAAACAAACAAAAACCAACAGCATTCCATTTCCAAAACTAGAAAAAACAATATAGAACACAAGAGACCCAGAATAACAAAACTAATTCTGGACAATAAGAACAAAACAAAGGGCATCATTTTTTATTGTTGTTTTTTGGTTTTGTTTTGTTTTTGGTACCGGGGATCAAACTCACGACCTCCTGTTCACCAGGCCGACACTTATGCCACTGAGCCAAATCCCTAGCCTTCCAAGGGCATCATTATCCAATATTTCAAGCAGTATTACAAAACTTCAGTGATTAAAAACAGAATGGTACTGGCATAAAAACAGTCAGGTGAATCACTGGAACATAATAAATAATGCAGAAACAACATCAGGTATTTCAGCTATCTGACTTGACAAAGGAGTCAAAAACATACGTGGGGAAAAGGACAGCCTTTTTACCAAATGGTGCTGGAAAAACTGGCAGTCTATATTCAGAAGATTGAATTTAGATCTATATTTCTCACAGTGTAGCAAATTAAAACAAAAATGGATCAAAGAACATGTCAGAAACAATTTGCTAGAAGATAAAACTCTTAAACACATAGGCATAGGCAAGGACTTCTTGAACAAAACCCCAATTATACAAGAGTCAACAAATGGGATTATATCAAATTTGAAAAGAGTAAAGAGAAAACTGATAGAATATGAAAAAAATTGCAACTTACTACTCCTCGGCTAGAGAAACAATATCTAGAATATATAAAGAATTCAAATAATTAGAACTCCAAAATAAAAAGAACTAATCAAAAAATAGGCAACTGAAATGAACAGATTATTTCTCAGAAGTACGCATGGCCATTAAAAGTTCAACATCTCTTATCATTAGCAAATTAATACAAAAATGCAATTCCACCTACTCCAGAAAGAATGGCCATTATCAATAAGTCAAATAATAACAAATGCTAACAAGGCTTCAGGGAAGCAGGAACCCTCCTTTACTGTTGGTGGGAATACAAATTCATACAACTACTATGAATGTGAATATGAAGAATCCTCAAAAAACTAAAAACAAAAATTCTAGTCAACCTTCTAGATATCTTCCTGAAAGAAGTAAACACATATTATAATGATACATGCACACTCATGCTTATAGCAGTTCAACCCATGATAGCTAAATACATCCCCTTCAATAGTTGAATGGGCAAAGAAAATGTGGTATTTATATATAATGTAATACTGTCTATATTATTTTTAATGTAATATATATAATGCTCTGCCACAAATAAAGATAAATTTGAGTCGATATACCTTGAGACCATAATGTTAACAGAAATAACTGCATGGTTTGTTTTATGTGAGAAACTCAGAGCACAATAAAAGACTCTAATAGGAAACAGATAAGTCCTTTGCAAATAGGTAGGGACCAAGAAATTGAAGGAGGGTAGAGAAAGGGGAGGAGAAGGGAAGAAAAAAAAATTAAGATGTATATATAAAAATTTACACAAAAAAGTTTGACTAAAGTTTATAAAAGCATGAAGCACTTACTTTAAAAGTATCAAGATTTACAATCTGAGGCAATTAAGACAGTAAGTTATTATGTAACAATAAATAGATAACTAAAACAGAATAGAGAACCCAGGAAAAGTCCCACGTACGTAGGAATGCTTCGATTGCAAAGAAGTGAGGAAAGAAGAATCTTTGAAATAAATGGTACTGGGTCAAATTCTATCTACAAGAAAAAAGCAGCTTACATCCACAAGCGCTCTAGTTTTCACAAAAAGAATGGTTCTTGTCTCTGGGTTTAGGTGGTACTCCTCTTGTAAGATTAAGTGGAGTTCTCTGAGTTTAGGGTTCTCATTGCTGGGATCCATGGAAACACGTTCTAGTTCCGGCAACTTTTCTGTAAAAGGGAAACACTTTACAAATGACTTATAAATTCTAAAAATGTAGAACAAATACACGGTGATCCTTAATTCAAATAATCAATCTCAATCTTTGGCCAGAATTTTCTGAACCATAACTACCATTTTAAATTGGTACAATCTTTTAGGAGTATATAGTTGGCATTATATATCAAAACATAAAACTGATGCATCCTTTGATAACAGATTTTATATCTAAGAATTTGAGATATGGTTTTATTTACAAAACTAGGGAAGAGATATCCAGGGATATTCACAGTACTATGGTTTAGAATATAAAAGAAAAGCAGAAAATGACCTAAGTAGCACAAATGGGAGCCTTTATAAGTTATACATTTGTCTTTACTATGATTGTTAAATTAATAAGGAGTAATATATATGTTTATATGGAAAGATCTTAGACATATTTTAAGTTAAAAAAAATCAAAGTACAAGACAGTATGTCTAGTATTACACATAGTATTACCTCCATTCACATACACTTCTGTTTTTCTGTTTGCAAACAATTCAAATGAAAGCATTTGGTAAGATTGTGCTGCCATTTGTAAACTCTGCATTGAGTGACAAACACAACACAGCCATCTTCCCCACACAAACACAAACACAGTCATCTCCCCAAAATCACAAAACAAGTTCATAAGCATATATATGGTGTGTGTGTGTGTGCACGCACATCAGGTGTGCATGAGCCACAACACACCAGACTAGTGATAATGAACAACTATGAAATTTTTGAATTATATGAGCCTGTTTTAAAAACAATCACTATTAAAAAATCAATTTTATAAATTTTCAACATATATTACAAGCAAAAGTAACAAATAGTTCACACTCATTTCCTACTCATTTCATTATTTTTTTACTATTACCTAGTCTCTTGAGTTATTTACATCTCTTATATTTGTATGGTAGAAATACAGAATCATGAGTTACTGTTCATCTTTTTACAATAGTTCAATGGCGCTATATTGGTGGCTTGAAACTAATTATAATGGAAATATTTATGTCAAGGAAATTGAGCAGATATTAAAAATAAGTTGTATCTATTGTTTGATGACAGTTTAAACTTACATAAAAAAGTAACGCAGCTCAAATTTAGCCATTAAATTGTAAATAGCAACCAAAAAGAGAGGAAATAGTCTTCAGGTATTTGAAAAACTATCAGCCAGTTTAGCAAACAAAGCTGCCTGCCTCATTTACAAACAAATAAAGCTCCACTATACATCTCTGTGGTTTCACTTTTACCTTACTCTGACTTTAGTAAAAAGTATATACTGACATTCATATTAGTTCATATCAGAACTATGGTTGTTTGTTCACTACAATTACTGATTGGCTATAGACACAATATTCTGCAAAATCACTAACGCATTCTATACAAGCCAATTATATAGAATTTACAATAAATAATCCTGTATTTACTATTATTTGTAACTTGTGTACTATAGGAATTATGAACATCCAAAAAAAATCAGTAAAACTTATAATACACTACTGCATATGTATGTATACATTTTTCCTACAGAACTAATTGTTTAAATGTTTACCAGTACACAACTAGTTACACATGTGTATACTAAATAGTGGCACAGATCAAAAAAATTTTAACATTCCGTTAAAGGAACTGAAAAGATAGAGGACAAAACTTACTTTTAATGTCTTTTTGTATTTTTGGTAATAATATCAGAACAATAGACAGTAAGTCATTTTGATTTACTCTTTATATCTTCTTAAACCCAAGACAACTGCCTGAGCATGACTCCAAAGGCTTCCTGTTCTGAAAACATCCCTCACCTTCAAACCTCCGAGTGAGATCTTGCTCAATGTCATCAAAAGCTGCTGTTCGGACATTGCTAAAGAAATCCTTCAGGTAATTCAAAGCGTCTTTCATTTGTGCATCCTCGCTGATAATGAGGGTATCATTATATTTCTGTTTAAATGAAAACTGAATTTCAGTATGTTTTCAACATCCTACTCATTATCTGTACCTGATAAGTAATTACTTTAAGAAAATGTTCAAGTGTATTTCAACTGAGTTTTTTAAGATGAATGACCCCTATTGGTTCTACAATAAAACTTTTGAGCTCTATAGTACTCTTTTTAAAAGTCTCAGTTAGGTAGAAACATTAATGAGAATCACTTTTTAGAATTTCAACTTGGAAATAAGAAAACTTCATGAAAAACATAATATAAAAAGCAGTAACAAAGCAGATGAACTTCTACCATAAAACTGTGTGATAATTAAGCCATTGAACTAAATTTCCAGTCATCACTAAACTGTAAAAGGACGACCCACAATGAAATTCAACTAAGACAAATACATGCTAATTGAATCATTTTTAAGAATTTTCAATGGCATAAAAAGAATGGTTGGGCCAGGCAAGATGTCCAGGCCAGCCTGAACTACATAAGATGTTGTTAAAAAAAAAAAAAAGTCGGGTTTAGCTCAGTGGTACGAGCACCTGCCTGGCAAGCACAAGATCATGAGTTCAATCCCCAGTACCAAAAAAAAAAAAAAAAAAAAAAGTTACTACAGCCCTGGTTAATCACACACCTTGGATATCTGAGCATAGAGTTTACCAAAAGAAAGCACATGCTTCAGGCAATCATGATGGCAGGACCCACTTAAAAGTTCTTAAGTGAGCTCTTGGTGACAGAATGAGAAGCTGATATTCTTTTCTCAATGCCAGGAGATGCTATAACTAAAACATCTTTTCAAAATAAATAACATACCCGCAAATGTGAAGTGTACAAATACATTGCTTTACAGATCCTGCTCTCTTCTTCTTTGTCTGGCATCTGAAACAACCTGCACGCTTTATGAACTGCAACGATCCATTGTTCATATTTCTGTGTTCCAAATACTCTATCTTGAATTTGAAATAAGTAGCCTGGGGAAGAAAAAAGCTTTTCATTATGCCATATGGTCAATCATTTAAGGCTCTAACATGCCTTATGTTTTCATGGATATCACTATATAAACACATCTTCTAAGAAAAGCCTCAGCTGCTTGGTTGAAACTGGGTGTTTGCTGTGATCCAGACTGTACAGATGAGAGAGACATAGGTGAGCCAGACAAACAAGTTGTTAGGCAGAGAGGTTGCAACTGACATCAACCTCTAAAGTGTATAAATAAATGGGCTGCAGTCACATTTATGTAGTCAATTCCTTTTCTCCCATCAAGAGAGAGACTGCCATCTGACCTCAGCTTCCTTCATTTTCACTCTTGTCTTTGTTTCTTTATCCTCCAACATCCTCCTCCTGGGAAATTCAAGAGCTACACTGGATGCAGCATTTTAGCACCTGAACAGGGACCTGGGGCTCAAGGAAACTTGTCATACAGCAGGTGAGAGGACACCTCCAAGTGCGGGCATCAACAAAACAGGCTCATAAAAAGCATAGGGGAGAGAGGTGTATTGATACTATCAATATTGATTTTATCAGGTGTAAAACATAGGGCAAACAGGTTCTCAAGCACAACAGATATGTATGAAAATGCTTGTTTTAGTACTAATCCCCATCTTTATCTTTTTGCTGTGGACCTGGACCGGGAGTGCTTTGATGATCACATGCCTACTGAGATGACCACAGAGGATTTGGCATGGAGAGTATCCTAAAACTAAGTCCCACCCAGAAAAAGCATAAGTGGAGCAGCAGCTCCCCTGATAAGAGTTTGAACCCTCTAGCTTTGCTCAATCATATTAAAAAAAAGAAGCTGGTGGAGAGAGACCTTCACCACCAGAGGAATGTTTTGCTGCAATTTCCATTTCACAGTCGCCCAAAGTAAAAGCCACAGCCTTAACTACGCCACAAGTGGCTATTTTCACTTTCTCAGTTCAGAAAGATTTTACTGCATCACAGGCTGAGACTTCTAGCCTTCATAGAACAGAGTCATCCTTTCTCTCCCTTGCAAGTGGTGCTAAAAGAAACCAGGGAGACAAGGGAATCCCGGAGAGTTTTCAACATGTCTACTCTGGCGCCGAACTCCAAAATTCCAATAATCTGGGACAAGTTACACATCTCCATGAAGCTATATTCTTTAAGACCTTAAAAAAAAAAAAACCCACTGTTACCTGTGGCCCCACAACTCCTTTTACCTTGGGTTTTGTAGAGCTCATAAGACAACAGGTTGTGGTCCAGCATGACTGGAGAGGACTAGCTGGCACATGTTTAAGTTAGGGGCATTATTTATCATGAAAGGGAAATTTTTTGACTTGTGCATGGATCAAGCTGCTCACAATGCTGTTCACACCACAGCCACTGCAAAAGACTTATTAACTGGAGAAGGTGCCATAGGAGGGGAGTCACTCAAATCTTTTGGAGTTCACAGTCTGCCACAGATTGCTTCACATGCTGGGCATGGAACTACAGGACTTAATGTTTGCCCTGGAAGATTTTGGACTTGTTTTGGTCCCAATCCTTTGTGTTCCCCTATCTGTAACTTTGGAATGAAAATGTTTATCTTGTGCCATTGAATGCTAGAAGTGTTTAACTTTTCACTTGTATAGGAGCTTGCGGCTAAGAGTTTGCCTTACATCTTGGAGGAGTATTGGGACTTGGACAACAATGATGAAACTGCTAGGACTTCGGCACCTCTTGAAGATGAACTAAATGCATTTTACATACAGGGATGTGCATGAGTCTCTGGACAATAGAAGGAACTCATTCCAGTATTTACATAGGATTGAGGGTATGCTTTTGTCTTTCCAGAGAACACTGAATGGTTTATCTGAGTGCCAGAGCATGCTGTCTGGCAGTCTCTGGACAGTTTTTCTACTTTTCAAGAAGCTGTTGTTCAGTCCTGTGGCAGTGATGCTTTGGCGACCACTCCACAGCCAACAGACAAGGATACAGTTAGCCTCAGCCTGGGCATTTCATTAATGAGAGGCCCCAATGATCTCAATCTCCACATCCTTATGGTAGATACCCCAATAAATGTTATTAAAAATACATTATTGTGATACGTTTACACTGGTCATTGTCAAAAGATTAAGTTTTCTAAAAATGAGGTTTTCTGATTTAAAGATACTCTGATATAAAACTAGATTAAAAAACAAAAGTTCTTATTGGCTATGACAATTGACTTTTATTAATTTTGCTGTGTTAAATGTATTCATGCCTTCAGATGCACAAGTCTTTCAAAATGTAAAACAGAATTGTTTATGGTGATTGACTTTTCTTTCAGAGTCAGACATCTGTCTTTAACAAAACTCATGTGGTATATATGCTATATATTTGCCACTATACTTGGAGATGTCTACACATTAAATAGTCCAAACAATGCCACAAATTTCTTCAATGACATACCATAAAAGGTCAACAAGTTATGTAAAAGCTTCTTATGTACTAGATAAAGATGATTCACTAAAAAGGCTATTTTATATCAAAATGCAGATTCAGGAGTGTTACAAGAATGTCATTATAGTTGTCATGCTACAATATTATGCATGGCTTTTGATTTTAAATTTTCTTTGTAAAACTTATAACCACTGTCTGTTAACATTCTACAGGGATTCAACTACTAGAACATCCATGGTTGGCAGGAAATAATGATTCTACATTGCATTTCAAAGTCCTTGCTTTTCAGATAAAATTATAACATTAAGCTCACTGTTCCGATTACAATGTAATGTCACTAACTTTCTCTTCTGGATGTCAACAACTGAAGTTTAGAGACCAAAAACTAGAAAGACAGATGGGCTAAGAGGACAGCGAGTATTTTGGTCCTGGCCTCCAAGGTCAACAAGGACCCAGGACATAAGAGAACGTCTGCTTTGACATCCTATCACTTGGTACCCCCTCAGTCTTTTCACCAAGGAGATTGTTGGACCACAGAGGAAGGAAATCAATGGCTTCTGAATAACCTACAATCAAGAAAGCCCACATCTGGGTATGGTCTGAACTCAAGCAAAGCAAAAGAGACCCCAGTGAACAATATATGGTTATTGTCAAGAGGATAGGATAAAAAATATGAGATTTGTCTCACTAAGAATTATAGCAGAACTCACCAAGTTCCTCAGAGATACTCTTTGCCAGATACTCTGTCTCCTTCATCAGCTCACATAAAATCAGTTTAAATTTGTTGGTAGTCCGTGGTTCTACTTTCCTGGAAACTAGAACCATCAAAGGAAAATGAGTTTGTTTTGGAAAGGACAGCTCATTGCTCAATGTAGAAACCTCCAAACTCTTCTCTGCTTTTGTTATTTCCTCTGGAGAACCAGAGGTCCCAGGCTCACTGGCAGGTGGTCCAAACAATACAATAAATGCTGTAAACTTTGCAGCCATTCCTAACTCATTACTACACTGCTAACAGCATTTGTCTTTTATGGCCTGGTGCTAACCCAGCTTCTCCTTCTGGTTTTCCTGTTACCTCTACTCTGACAAGTCAAACAGCCCTCTTGTTCATGTAACTACCACACTCCAAGCCGATTTTTATGTTTTCTGATTCTTTCTTCCCACCCAAACCCCAATTGATCTTTTTTATTCATTATTAATCCTGTCATTGATTACTGTGTTATTTCAGCAAAACTCACTAATTGCCTATCATGTGCCATGCTCTAGCAGTAGAGAATTGAAAAGAACACACTCCATGTTCCAGAGGGCTGCATTCTTACAGGAGAGAAAAGGAGGTAGCCAAACAATAACATCAGAGTTCTATAGTGTAAATACTGTGTGTACAAGGGGTCACAGAGCACAGAAAGAGGAACATCTCGTCTTCCAAGGGGGAATCAGTGGCATAAATATGAGAAAAAGAAAGACGAAAGCAAGAGCGGTCATGGGAAAATAATCAGTCATATACCAAGGGCAGCAAGGGAAAATAATCAGAGAGGAAGCACGTGCTATGCCTGAGGAAGTCAGAGGAAGGCAACACTGTTAGGGTTATCTGCGAGGAGAAGAAGCTCAGAAGGCTGGAGGCAGCAGATTACAAAATTCATGTGTGATGCCAGAAAGACTGGTTACCCTTGCTGAACTTCTCACAGATAACTCCTCAGAAGGGACTTTCTTCCTTCCCCATTTAGTGTATAATTATATAGTCACATGCCCCTCAGACAGTAAAGATAAAATCATGTATTCCTTGATCTCTCACAGGGCTAGTATAATAATAAAGTCAATAAATACTTGCTACATGATTGTATTTTAAAAATCATTTTCTGATCTTTTGAGGCGAGATATAATAAAACTAGATAATCTTAACTATAATTGTCTAATGCATGGTCAAACAGTGCTGATCACACAGTGCTCACCGCAGCCCTGGAGCCCGGGCTCAGCCTTGGCCTCCACATGCTTAGACTTTCTCATCACCTCTTTTATCTTGCTAGTACCTTTAAAAAGGTCATGTGGAACAGAAGTGTAGGAATGGTTGTTCCTTATGCATCTGTTCACCCATTAGCAGAAAAGAGTTCATTTAAGGAGAGAGACTAGCAATGTGACTATTTCCTAAGTTTGGGTTTAAATATTTTCTACTGAACAGATAATGGGTCAAAAATCAGTGCTTATCAAAAGGGAGCTGAACTTGGTGGGGTTAGCCGAGAGTAATGAAGTTCCAAAGGTTTGTCACTGGGTACCCACTTACTTTTCTGGGGCTTATAAACAACTTGCTCCAGTTCCTCCAAGTTTTCTTTAACTGTTGCTATCACTGATGCATCAAGAGAAGCACACAGTTTGCAGATGTAGGCCATGGCTTCCTCTATATTTTTGGCATCGCCAACACCAACTGATGCCGTCAGTCCAATGACCTGTAAAGAGTAATCTGATGTTAATTTTTTTCTAATATTCCCTGTACTTGCAAAAAGAAAGGTCCCATTAGGCAAAGCACTGAATAAATGCAAGACTCATATCTCATCAACTAAATACTAATCAGCATAGAAACTGTGACAGGAGCCCATCAAGGCAGGGTTTCTCTTTTCTATACCATTGTATTCACTATGACTTAGAGACTATCATACCGAAAAGGAAAAGGATTGAAATCAGACACATCCATTCCAATCTCAATCATGTCATATTGGTTGAATGTCCTTGGAAAAGTACCTTCAACTTTCTGTTAATGTGGGGAACGGCATCTATTTAAAAAGGTAGCAGTGTAGCATCATTAAGGTAATTCCCACTAACAGCCACTCAATAATTACTGAATAATCAGTCCATCAACAAGGAATCCACTTAACATCAAAATTATTGTGAGTGAACATGACTATAATACAAAAGAAATTTTTGTCTATGGGCACTGTACTAAATTTAATTTGCACTTTCTAAATGGGTCATTAATAAGGCTGCAGAACTTTACACCTATGTGCAGACACATGTACCATAAATTCATGGTTTCCATCATCAGCCATGCATCAGCCATGTTAATTCTTCAGTATTCCCTGTCAGTTCTCCCTCCAATTTGAGTTCTTCCTCTAATTTAAAATCTTCTCCACCCTCTACCCCTTCTCTCATCATTATGTTGGAATTCTCAGCAAATCTTATCTCTACAACATGCCATCACAATAAACTGTGATATAGTTTTCGTGTGTCTGGCTCTCCATAAAAAATGTAGCTGTTTGAGGGCTAGGGCTATGTCTTTTTTTCTATTTACACCATGTAAGGCACACATCTGCAGAACAACTAACAATGGGTCAAGAATATTTTTTAAAAATTTTTTATAGGTATAGAGCATGTATGAACTTTTTTCTTTGTCATTATTTCCTAAACAATACAGTATAACAATTACATTTATATCACATTTACAATATATTAAGTATTATAAATTATCTAAAGATTATATAAAGTATATAGGTGAATGTACAGGTTATATGCAAATACAGTGACATTTTAAGGAAACTTGAGTACCCTGCTATCTACAGGGTACCAATGGACAATCATTTGTTAAGTGAATAAATGATGGATGAGTGAAAAACTGATCAACAAGCTACAATACTATGGATTGATTAACTGAGAAGGACACTCTTAATGTGCCACAAGAGTAAGTATATATGATTCAGGAAGATAATAGGTCTTCTGAGTAATCTGCCTGACTGTGAAGGTACCTGAGGCAATGGATCTGAAGATTCTCCAAGTTTCTGATCTAGATAATTGAACATGATCATATTGTATGGGTGGTGTTTACTCGTGTTGTGGCATTCATCAAATATCATCAAGGTAAAGACAGACAGTGATGGAATGGTTCCGTTTTTAAGATTGTTCACAAGAATCTGTGGTGTTAGCACAATGATGTCATTGTTCTCAATAGTCTCTGCCACTGGGACTTTCTCAGCTGTTGCTCCAGAAATGCCTGTAACGCTGTACCTGGAAAACAAATGAAATTCCCTGGTACTCACTGTGATGTGAACAAGAAGACACAAACATTAGATCAGAATAGCAGTTGATGAAGTTCTTTCTAAGGGATACATGTGGAGACCAGTTAAGTCCTTAGCACAAAACCTGACACACAGCAAGTGACTAACAAATGCAGGCTAGTTATAATTCACAGCAACATAAATATGTAAGGTTTATTTAGGATATAAATGATTTTTTTAGTAAAAGGGGAAGGTGAGAGAGATGACAATCCCCTTGGAATAATTCACAAAAGCTACTTTATGATTTCCAATTAGTTAACTTCATTTCAAAACTATTTCTAACCACAAGGAATAATTTTTCTTCTTCTTCTCCTCCTCCTCCTCCTCCTCCTCTTCCTCCTCCTCCTCCTTCTTCTTCTCCTTCTTGGAGGGAGGTTTTTTGAGACAGTGTCTCACTATGTAGTCAGGCTACCTTGAACTCACTGTGCAGTCCAGGCCAGGCTTCAACTTGTGGCAATCCTGCTGCTTTAGCCTCCTGCGTGCTGGGATTATAGATATGAGCCACCATGCCCAGGTCAAACAAGGATTTTCATTTTTATTTTTCCAGTATAAAAAAGTTACCTTGATGGGATATTATAATGCAATACTAATTGCTTGTCATGTAGTTAAATATCAGTATTCAAATATACCCATTAGCTGCTACCTTTTAGACATGAACAAATGCTTACCCATGCATGTACATTGTGCTTTGTTACATCATACATTGCAACTAATAAACCAAGGAGTAACATACATTAGGTGTGTATACTGAGAAAACTAAGAATGATAAATTATCAATATAGTTTAGTATTTGCTAACTGCACTACACTCTTTTGTGAAGTATATGTTGGAAAGTATAGGAATTATAAATTCAATGAGCAAGGTTTAAAACTATACGTTTCATGATAATGAGCCCTTAATATGCATTAATCTGTATTTTCTAAAGAGAATTGCAAGAGTTTTATTTTTCTAACATTAAAACTTACTTAATAAAGACTTCTTCCCAATTAAAAAAAAATGAAGCTCCACATGGTGGTGAATGCCTATAATCCAAGCACTTGGGAGGCTGAGGCAGGAGGATCACCATGAGCTGGAGGCCAGCCTGAGCTACACAGTGAGTACAAGCCATAGTGAGTACATAATGAGACCCTATCTCAAAAAAACCAAATAAACAAACAAACAAACAACGTTTTTAAGACAACTTTTCTAGTCACTGAGAAAAAGAGTACTCAAAAGAGAAGTATCATATACATTTAAAATCCATTTAAGTAATAACTTAGTCCATTAAGTCATTTACTTAACCTTATAAGATCAAACCAAGAGGGTTTAGAGTTTGTTGTATTTCTAACAAAGATTTGAATTCATAAAAGAATTGTATCTAGATAATGTTAAAAGTTGGATTTGTTATGAAATTTTTTAAATTATAGCTTTTAAAAAACAAAACAGAAAACAAATTACTTACATGAAGCTAGGGGGGAAAAGTTGAAGTAACTGTTACACCTACCCAAGTCTTTCAAAATATCTTGAGAACACAGTCTTCTGCTGTTCATATACAGGGACATGGTTAGCAAAAAAGACAACTTTCCCTTTCCGTCCTTGTGGAAACTTTAGAAGATGATGTTCACATATAAGAAGTGAAACAAAGGTTTTCCCACAACCTTTTAATATATAAAGAAAAAGAAAACAACTAATATTATTTTAGTATTTCTGTAGAAACATTTATTTTAGCTCTTCTAACACTATCGGGTTGACAAGTAAATTGATCATTTAGATGGATTAATAACTGCAGAATTTAAACTATTAGCAAAAAAAAATCACAACTTCTTAAGGAAGATATACTCAAGTAGCTAGGGCCCAAAGCAAGCTTAAAAAGTGTTTTTCTTTCAATGTTCATGTCTTTTCAAATATATTGGGACTACATTTTCAAGATAGTTTTCTCAAACATAAATGAAACAGGAAAAAATTTGAAATTTTTGTTCAATGGAAGAAAAAGGAAGAAAGAAACTACACAGGAATGGCGATTGGCTTACCAGTAGGAGCACATATTATTGTGTTTTTTCCTTCCTTAGCAGGTAAAGCAAGCTCTAGTTGGTAATTTCTTGCTTTCAGTGGGCTGCACAAATTAGTATGAGACACTTCTGTAAGGCAAAAGAAACAGAATTCCCCAATAGTTACTACTCTGAGGAATCACTGCAATAGCTATAGTCTAATGAATGTGAATTCTGAATCCAGTCCAAAGGACCTTATTTGAGGTTTAAAATCTTGTCTCTTATTAATCATTTCAGCTTCTTCTCTGATATAAAGAACAGAATTCTCACTCAATGAAAAAGTATTAATGACAAGAAGAGGGGAAAAACAGTGGATTCTTTCTTAATCATATAAGCCTAATAAAGTTAAGCAAAATGGTCTAATTTAGGGAAAAAGAGATAATCACCATGTATAGAGATTATTGTTTGGAACAAAACATCCTTCTAAGACTGAAGAAGAAAATCATATTAATATTGGATTTTCAAAGCAATTTCTTACTAAGTCGTAACCATGCTTTGTAAATCTTCAGGCTCTCAAATAATTATTTTCTCTCAATATAAACAGAAATTTTAAAAAATACTTAGAATCTTTATCTCACCAACAAGTATGTATATAAAATGTTAAGTGGTAGGGAAAACTTTGGAAATCATTTAGTAAGTTGAACCAACTCACTTTAAAGAGAAATCTTCTACAAGGTTAAGACAATAAATTTCACTTCAGACTTATAAAAATCTTTACATGGTAGAAATAAAGCAACAAGGCTGGGGATTCAGCTCAGCGGCATAAGCGTCTGCCTGGTTGTAAGTTTGATCCCCAGTATCAAAAAAAAAAAAAAAAAAAAGAAAGAAAGCAGCACATTCATTGATATTATTATAGAATGACAAACAAATCTGTATCACCCAGTTGCAGTGAAACATCTATAAATTATCTTTTAATTATATATCCTAAAAACCTTGTTTTTTCCTAACACTATTCATTATTAATCTTAGTTTCCCTTTTATAAGTGTCATATTATGCAACCATCAGAACTCTTCATGAAACAGTCATGAAAATATGAATGCTTCAAGAAACATATGGGGACCTCACAGGATCACATTAACTTTGAAACCGCCTTGTGAGAATGAAAAGAAGAAGCTCGTCAAACGACACAAGTGCTCCATACATAGTTTTACAAACAGCAGAAACTACATGTCAGCAATGCACATTTGTGTATTACACACACATTCCTGATCAACTGGTAAAGCAACCTTGGAATCTAGAAGAAAACTGAGCAAGTAGCTCACAAATGTATGTTTTTAGAAACAAAGGCTGCTTTTGGATTTCACAGACATTAAGGTTCTAGGAGAACTCTGAATTTGCAATGTAGACATGTACATATTTGCTTAGTGAAAAAATAAGACTTAAGAAAAGATAAAAGTAGAAGCAATGGCCATGAAAAGAGAAACTGATATTTCTAGTTATAAAGTATCTCTTTAACTAAATTCTCTTTTCTTTCTAAATTTTCCTTAAAAAGCCTTTCCATAAGGCTGTAACTTGAGGCACTGCAAAAATTATGCCCACACAAAACACAAAAAGAGCATCATTATAGAACAAAATGCCAAGTACCTGAAGGTGGACAGGAGTTCTGACTAAGATTTTGGTCTTCTGGATCTTCCTGGTAGAAAATCTGTATGTCAGAATGTTCCATTCTATTATCCTCAAGTTCTTCACTTTCTACATCTTTCATACCTTTTAGGATAAAAAAAAAATCTTAGAATATTAATGCAACCTGATTACAACTTTGATTGCGAAAGCCTCACAAAGCTGAAACATTAAAATTTTAAAATTCTAAGACTATTTCTCACAATCACACCCTTCACTTCTTAAAACAATTAAAAGAATCATTTGAAGTCTTAATTTGGTAGTTGAATTCCAATATCATTTAGAACTGTATTAAAGTGTAAAACATTGGTAGCAGTAACTTTAGGAACTTGTTCAAAATATGAATCTGAGCTCCTATGAATCAGAATCTGTATTTTAACAAGATTTCTAAGGCACTCCTATTTACACTAAAGAAAAGACCATGACCAAACAGACATTCATATCTGCTCCCTCTGACACCCTAGGAAATGAATCCAGGGCACTGTCTTGCACATGCTAGGCAACTGCTCTACCACTGAGCAGGATCCTCACTTTGTGTGTGTGTATGTGTGTGTGTGTGTGTGTGTGTGTGTGTGTGTGTGTGTGCGCACGCGTGCACGCTCGCACCTGTGCTGACAGACAAGGTCTTGCTACATCCCTGAGGCTGGGCTTGAATTTGTGGTCCTCTTGTCTCAGCCTCCCAAGTTGTTGGAATTATAGGCATGTACTACTGCACTAGGCTAAAGAAACATCTAAAGAAGCCTAAGTAAAGCTAATGCTAAGACAGATGTTTTTCAGACACAGCCTTTAAAAAAGAAAAAGACAAAAAAAAAAAATTAAAAAAAAAAAAAAACAAGATTCTGACATGACGTTAGCTTCAAAAAGCCAAATGAGGGTTCAGATACTAAGCAAAGTCTTCTTTCACCCTTGCTCTCTTCAGTTCCAAATGGCTTCCAGGCAAAATGTATCATGATTCTACCCTGAAAAGTGAGTAAGTCGTGGAGTTCTCTGATAACTTAAACTAAGGCTGGAAACTTAGAACTGGGCCTTTCCTAAATTTGGGGGGTCATATGGACTAATTTTGGGTAACAACAGTCTTTCCTGACCCATTTTTAGAAGCCATACACAACCAAAGTAATTCCACAGTCAAGTAGCTACCTCCCTCCCAAAACCTAACTTCATGTGGGTCTCTCACTAGAGAGACCTTATCAAAACCCATGAGTCTGAAGGAAAAGTGCTTTTGAAGTTCAGTAAAAATGGGTAGAATGAGGAAGGCCCACGTAGAACCATGAGGTTTCTAACCCTTTTCCTTCACCCCTTCAGAACTCTTATAGGAATCCTTTACCTTCATCTATAATCCACAGGTCATTGAAGATGTTCCCATCTTTCTCCAAAGCAAGTTTCAGAGTCTTGGGCCAGCTCCCTTTGTCTGACCTGAGAAGGCACTCAGCCAATTTCTCGGCTCCTGCCATAGGCCCCTTAGTGGTGCAAACCTGTTCACAGCAAATGCAGATTCTGATCACTTATCGTAGTATTTCCTTCTATGCGTTCACTGTAGAAAAATCAGCTCAAATACAATTTGGTTTAAAAAACCATTGGGGGGGGGGGCCCTGGGGATTTAGCTCAGCCACATAAGCGCCTGCCTTGTAAGCAGGCAGTCGTGAGTTCAATCCCCGGTACCGATAAAAAGGAAAAAGACAAAAAAAAAAAAAAAAAAAAAAATCATTGGGGGCTGGAGGTTTAGCTCAGCAGCATAAGCACCTGCCTTGCAAGCAGGCAGTCGTGAGTTTGATCCCCAGTACCGATAAAAAAGAAAAAGACAAAAAAAAAAATTGTAAATTATGGTTCAGTAGGTATTAGCTATCATTTTTGTCCCATTTAACACTGTCTTGTCTCTTGTTTTGTGTGTGACACTAAAGACTGAACCGAGGGCCATTGTACCAACCCCTCTCCTAGCCTTTTATGTTTTTGACAGGGTGTCTCTCAGTGTGTTGCCCAAGCAGGGCTCTGTCCTTCATCTTTGTTCTTCACGTGTGATAATTTTACATCAAGCCAAGCCTTCTCACCTCCTCTTAGTTCTTAAATCTAACATCATCAGCAATATTAGGAAAATAATCTATTTGACAACCATTCACATTATGGATGTATTACCAAAGATGGATATTGTAAGGATACGACAAAATGTTAGGTGGTTTTCTCAGGGTACAGGAATTAACATGAATTTTATTATTAATCATAATGACTAAAACTTGTGCAATTATTATGTTCCAGGCTTTCTATGCAGGCATTTCATACATACTTTTCATTTAAACCTTATGAAATTATCATATTAATGTGCCATAATTATTTGCGTTTTATGCATAAAGACACAGATGCTTAAAGAAGGTAGGAGAATTGCCCAGGATCACATTACTAGTAAGTGGCTAAGCTAGGATTATAACAAAATTTTAGGCAAGGGCCTAAAATTTTAACTGCTAGTCTATACCCATTTTTCTTTCTATGTGGTGAATGTAAAATTTTGTTTAAATGTGAATAAAACATTCAGAAAATAAAGTATTTTTAACTGAAATAATTCCAGGTAATTTACTCCTTAGATATGACAGCATTGCTCTTCCTTTGGTGTAAACAGGATATTTCCCATATTCTTATTATTTCCTCCAAACTTAGTATTTCATGCTAACTTACCTGCCAAATTTCTTCACAATCCTGAGTAATTAAACAATCAGCTATTTCAGGGAGGATTTCTGTTGGAATAATTCTGGCTTTAAATTCTGGTTCTAAACGTCTCAAAAGTGTTCTGTAATCCTCTAACTTTTCAAGGTTTTGAAAATCCCAATTTTCAATGGCTTCATAAAGCCCAGAATAGCCTGAAAAGAAAGGAAATGAGGACTTTTATAAGATGCTTTGACATTGATATCAAAAACTCATGCTTAAAAAAGTTACTTCAGTTACCAATACTTTTCAAAAATAAAACAATATTCACTTTAGGTACCCAACGTTTTAGGTCTTCTAACAATGTTTATTATCTTTTAGGCCAAAGTAATAATGACAAATTTGAAGTTTTATATTTGATCTTTGTATAAAATCTTCCAAATTATCCCATTAACTTCTCCTGTAACCTGATTTGCCTTTCAGTATGACAAATTCACCAGGTTTACCTACTGTGAAAAGCAATAAAGACAACAGAAAATTATGAATTTCAATTCCTGTCCTCAAAGAACTTTCAATTTACATTATTCTAAGAAAAGAATATTAAGTAAATGAAGCCAGATGTTGTAGTACACACCTGGAATCCTGGCATATGAGAGACTAAAGCAGGAAGATTGTCAGTTGAAGGCCAGAGGGATATAGGGAATTTAAAAAAAGATGAAACCAACAAGTAAAATTTAAAATGAATAGTAAATGGGAAATTTGAAGAGGAAAAAATAATTCCAATTTCAATAATCCAATAATGTCTCACTCTGAGGTTCTGTGACAGAATCACCAGGCTTGTCTCTCATTTCACAACTGTAAGAAGACAATGAGGTTATTTTATAAGTAGAGCAAACATGAAGCTTCTGTGTGAGGAGATCATTTAGAGATGAGAAAACCCCTGGATTCTATTAAAAGAATCTCAATCTAACACCTGCTCTGCCTTCTGTATACAGACACAAAACAAAAAAATACAATAAATATGCTGGAACCCATAGTCAGCAAAAAGTATCACTAATGATAATATGTTTAATGAACAGCAACTGTGTATCATCTCTTTTCTTTTCTTTTCTTTTCTTTTCTTTTCTTTTCTTTTCTTTTCTTTTCTGTCTTTTTCATTTTTATTGGTTCTGGGGATCGAACTCATGACCGCCTGCTTGCAAGGCAGGTGCTTATGCCGCTGAGCTAAATCCCCAGCCCCATATCATCTATTTTCAGAAACGTCAACTGTCTCTCATAGTGAAAGTTTAGTATTTATATAACTTTTAGAATATTGTTCATTATAACTGAAGTTTATTATACATATGGCTAAAGGCATTTCCTTAAATGTCATACTTAGGAAGTTCAGGGAAAATAGTATTGGCCAGTAACTAAGGAAAATGCTCAAGTTCATTCATATTTTTATTGGGACTAAAAAACAACATAAATTTACTATCTTAGCCAGTTTTTAATGTGCAATTCAGTAGTGTTAAGTAAAGTCACTTTTGTGAGACAGAGTCTAGAATTTTTATCTTGCAAAAATTGAAATGCCATCCACACTAATACAATAATTCTTCTTTCTCCCTTCCCACAACTCCTGGTAACTACCTCTTTCTGTTTGTATGCCCCTGACTACCTTAGATTACTTATAAAGATTGAATTATACAATGTTTGCGTCTTGGTGACTGGTTTACTTAATTTAGCATCATGTCCTCAAGATTCATCTATATTGTAGCATATGGTAGGATTTCCTTCCCTCTTAAAGCTGAATAATACTCCATTAGATGTACATATTATGTGTCTTACTTTCTTACTGCTGAAACAAAATACCAAATACCCACAAGTTAAAGAAGAAAAGGTTTATTTAAGATTACAGTTTTTAGAAACTTCAGTCCATACTCAGCTGATTCCAAGGCAGGGCAGCATGACAGAAGCACGTGGCAAAAGAAAAGCAATTCATGGTGTGGTAAGCAGGAGGCAACAAGCGGTTAGCCTTCCTTTCCCTCTTTATTCCACTCAGCTTACAAGCTCATTGGCTTATGCCACCCATATGAAGGGTGGGCCTTTCCATTATCCACATTTTTGGAACTATGCTGAATCAATCAGTGGAGTAATCCAGTTATCACACCCATAATTCAGTATCATACACTCATGCTACAGTCAGTTTCCAAAAGCTACACAGTGCATGAAGCCTCAGAAAGACACCTAGCTAAAAGCCATAACACATTCTATTTCTTACTTTTTCTTTTTGTGGAGTTAAGGGTCAAACACTAAGCAATTACTAAGCTACTGAGCTACATCACTGCCCAACACCATATTTTGTTTACCCATTCATCTAGTACTAGACATAGGAGTTTCTCCTACCTTTTAGCTTCTGTAACTAATGCTGATACAAAATAAGGGTTAATATATCTTTCCAAGATCCTGCTTTCAATTGTCTTGGAACATCCCAAAAATGGGGTTGCTGGATCATACAATTCAATTTTTAATTTTCTGAGGGAAGTCCATACTGTTTTCCATGTAAGTACACTGTCTTACAATTCTACCAACAGTACACAAAGGTTCCAGTTTCTCCACATTTCCACTAGTACTTGTTACTGATTTTTTGTTTGTGTGATACAAGCTATTGGAATACTATATAGTGATATCTCATTGTTTGATTTGTCTTTCTTTGTTGATTATAATGTTTAGCATATTTCCATGTTTGCTGGCCATTTTCATGTTGCATTTGCAGAAACAGCATGCCCTTTGCCTATTTTTTAATTGGGCTATTGGATTTTTGTTGTTGTGCAGGTATAGACATTCTTTATATATTCTGGATGCTAATTCCTTATCAAAATACATGAGTTGCAAACAAAAAAATGGGAGATCAGCCCATTTGGTTGACTCTATGCTTTGAGACACCTAAGATTTTGGGTTTGATGAACTCCCATTTGTCTATCTGCTTTTGTTGCCTATGCTTTTGGTATGAAATCAAAAATCACTGCAAAGTCCAATGTTATGTTGTTTTTTCTGTTTTTTTCTAGGAGTTTTACAGTTCTGTCTTATGTTCAGAAATGTTTAACCCATTTTGAGTTAATTTTTAATACACTATGTGAGATTAATTTGATATGTCAATTTGACTGGGCTAAGAGATGACCAGATAGCTGCCAAATACTATTTCTTTGTGTGTCTATCAAAGTATTTTCAGACTGGAAATATAGCTCAGAGACACAGGGCCTGCATGGGAAGTGCAAGTACTCCCAGTACCAAAAAAAAAAAATTTTTTTCCAGAAAAAAGTGAGCATTTGAATAAGTGACCTGAGTAAAGACCCTCACAAATGTGAGTGGGTCTCATGAAATCCACTTAGAGTCCGGACAAATAGAGCTTTAGGACTTAACAAGAACAGCTCCCTGGTTCTTAGACCTTCAGACTCAGACTGACTTATACCATCAGCTTTCCTGGTTCTTCAGCTAGCCGGGGGCAAAGGACATGGACTGTCAGCTTCCATAATTGTTTGAAGTAATTCCTATGGTATATAAGTACATTTGTAACATATACGCCATTACACACATGCACTGGCATGCCTATCTCCTATTGGTTCTGTTTCTCTAGAGAACTCTGACAAATACTTTAGTGTTCAACTTCATTGTTTATGTACAGACATTTGTTTTGGTGCTATTATAAATAGAATTATATACTTTAAAGCATTATAAAATTATCTGTTGTTAAAAAATAGGCAAGTAGGGGCTGGGATTTAGCTCAGCGGCATAAGTGCCTGCCTTGCGAGCAGGCAGTCATGAGTTCGATCCCCGGTACTGATAAAAAAAAAAAAAAAATAGGCAAGCAACTGACTTTTCAATGCTCATTTTTGTATCCTGAAACTTCTTTCAATTCATTTATTTTTGTTAGTTTTCTAAATAATCCTATCATTTGTGAACAGAGACAGCTGATTTGTTTCTTTCCAATTTATCTTTTATTTACTTTCCTTACCTAATTGTTTTGGCTAGAATATCCACTACTAAATGCCATTTAGTTTTTAGAGTAAAAATAGAAATGCCATTTTTAACTGAAAGGTTGATAAGAATTTAAGTAATTTGTAATACCCAGATTAATGGTATCCTAAAAATGGAGAAACAACAGTTTCTCTGAGTAAGTATACGTAACAGGTAGGGAAGACTTTCATTACCTTTAAAAAATTTGTTCAGAATAAATCAGCGCATGTTATAGCACTAGAAATTTAGAGATAGAGTAGGGTATGAATAAGTCAACTATTATCCTCAAGGTAGAAGCAGAAAACAAACAGAAGATTTAAACCCTCTCACCTACAACGTTTTGAAAAATAAAACCATATTATTTTTCATAAAACAACTGAGCATGGTGGCTCACCCCTGTAATCCCAGCATTTGGGAGGCTGAGGCAGGAGGAACGTTATGAGCTTTCGGCCAGCCTGGACTACATAGTAAGCTAAACACCAGCCTGAATTACACAGGGAGACTCCCATCTTAAAAAGAGAAACCCACACAAGTGTAATCATACTATATGTACAGGCCTCCTGAGAAATTCTAAATGTAAAAAGGTAGCTTTTTATATTATGTTAATTTAATATATCTGTGTTACAGTATGATGACACCAGTGATGGTAGATGCCCATCATCAGAATCTTTTTCCTGTAGTGATATAAATTTTCCTTAATTTGTCCATCTTTAAATTGCACTAGTATAATGAAAACAATAATGTTAAGATAATGGCTACAGTGAGGGCCCCTTATCTACACTGAACTAGCTTCTGTATACATGTTCTCTAACTTACTGTTTACCACACTGAAAGAAAAGCATCCTTTGGCTTCTCTGACAGGTGAATAAGCTGGAGCACCAACAAGGCAACATTACTTGGTTAAAATTTAGGAGTAACTAAGTGAGTTAGAATTGAAACTCAATTTCTGACTGCTCATTCAAATGCCTCTACAGCAATTATCCTCCAAAAGAAATGCCATCAGTGGGTCCACATTTTCTATTAATTAGCTATATATCTCAGCACACCCTTTTCTACCCTTAGTTTTCCTATGTACAGAAAAAGCCATGTTAGACTAAGTCATTTCTAAGATGCCTTTCATCTTTAAATGAAACTAACTTTATATATAGATGACAGAGATCAAAGAACACTGTAGTACTGAAAAGAAATTTTAAAATTATGCAACAGTTGACCACATGACAGAATATTTGTAACACATATATAAAGTTGCCTAACAAAATGTACACATCTGCACTTACTATTCTTAAAAGCTAAAATATTCCAACACTTTTGAATGCCTTCTCTTTCTTACCCTAACTTGCTTACCCAAACATACCACTATCTGTATTTGATCACCACTCCTTTGATTTTTTTTGAAGATAGTTGCATGGTATAGGTTTGTTTCTGATAGGCTTGTATGAGACTTTATATATTTTATATCCTATGATATGTGCTTCTATGACTTTTAAAAATTTAATACTGCATCTCTAAAATCTTTCTTTTTGTTAGAGACGGGATCTGTCATGTAGTCCAGGCTGGTCTTGAACTCACTACGTAACCCAGGCTGGCCTCAAACTTGCAGCAATCCTCCTGCCTCAGCCTCCTGAGTGCGGTGATTCCAGGCGTGTATCACCATGCCTGGCTAGATATTCCCATACTTCCATTGTAATACAGTGGACCAACCTGTGAACATCACAAGTTATTCTCCTCTTGAAGGATTTTGGAGTTGCCTCAGTCTTACTGCTTCCTTGTTTTATTTATTATAAGCAATTATACTGTGAACATTCTTGTGTATGTATTACAAAATGTATGAGGTTTTCTAGGGTACAGACTCAATAGTGAAGCCTGGAAAGGATACCTGAGAGTTGAATTCTATAATATGATGTCAAAATATTTTTTAAAATAGTTGTGAGTTTATATTCTACAAAGTGACGTTTAAGGCCTTCCATTACTAAATATTCTCCTAAGCTTTAACACTGTTTAACTTCTTAACTTTTGCTCTATGACAGGTGTAAAATGATGTCTCATTGTATTTCTAACTTGTAGCTCCCTAATTACTAATTAGGCTGAAAATATTTTCATGTATTTATTCACAAATGTTAGTCTATGAAATGTCTGTTCACATCTTTTGCTCAGTAGCTGTTTTCTTTCTTTTTCCAAATGATTTTAAAACCTTTTTAATATATTCTGAGTATTATTCCCATGATAATTGTATATTTTGCAAATATGCACTCCCACTTTATGACTTGTTTTTTTCAATTTCTTTATAATGTTTTTTGATAAACATGTTAATTTTAATGTTACCAAATTTATTCAGCTTTTTTATGGTAAATGCTTTCATGTCTTATTTCACAAATCCTATCATGCTCCAATATTGTAACAATACTATTCTGTATTGTTTTTAAAACTATTATAATTAAGTTTAAATTCTTCTGAATTTATTGTGTGTGGAATGAGATAAGGAATACAAATTTACTTCTATGCACGTATATATGAAAGTTAGGATTTATTCAGTCTGTAACATTATCATATTTCTAATAGTCCATTGCTGCTTATTGAATAGTGCCTCATTTCCCAATGACTCTCTAATATGTCAGGTTTCCATAAGTATATGTGTCTAACTGGAGGCTTGCTAGTCAATTTCACTTGTCAGTTTGTTGATAGCAGGACCAACAACATCACACTGTCTCAATGCTAGTGTGTGTGTGTGTGTGTGTGTGTGTGTGTGACAGATTCTTGTTATGCTGCCTAGGCTGGCCTCAAACTTGCAAGCTTCCTGTCTCAGCCTATCAAGTAGCTGGGATTATCAGGGCATGCCTCACGCCCAGCTTTATATTAAATATTAGCATCTAGAAGGGATACTTCTGATTATTCTTAAGTTACAGTTCTTTGGCTTTCAAATTCATTGAAAAGGCATACGGGATTTTTATTAAAATTGCATTAAATGTATGGATCAATGTAAGGAGAGCTGAAATTTGTATGCTATCAAGTCTCTCCTCTATGTGCATGGATGTATCTCTCCACTTTGGAGATATTTACTATTTCTCACTTTTTATTATTTTTATCATTTAGACTTTATACATGTCAGACTTATTCTTCAATGTTACATTGTTGTTGCCATGATAAATGGTATTTCATTTTGTATTACATTTTGTTTGCTTTCAGTGAGCAAAAATGCTACTGGTCTTACAGCCAAAAATCTTGCTAACTTCCTCCATTAGTTACAATAATCTTCCTGTACATTCACCTTCCTATTTCAGGTGGACAAAATTATATTATCTGTGTAAAAACAAACTTTACAGTGCCTCAGCATAGCAGATTTGAACTATATGTGGATAGCTAAGAATTGACAGCTTTTCCCTTTTATGGTACTCCAATACTTTTGAGAGTAAGCAGCATGAACTAACCTGCATGGTTTAGGGCATCCAAAAAGCCACGGAACCAGCCTTCCACCTGGAGCTCCAACAGGAGCCTGAGAAAAAGTGAGGCAGCCTCCATTGGACCCTTGTTGTTTTTCTCAGCCTGGATAGATTGCACTTCATCTACAGAGAGAAGAAAGAATGATTCATCAAACTGCAAAACTACCACTTACTAGAAGAAAATCTGAAAAGGGCAACCAGACTTCCTAGAAGAGGGAGAGGTCACGAAGTTGAAAGAAACTCCAGGAAGCTGATTCCCCTAGCCACGGCTGACTGTGCCATTCTTCACCAACCTACCCTTTCCATCCTTGGTAGAAACTTCATATTTAGTATGGAATTCTTAAGAGTACACTCTAGATAAAGTCAGTCTGTCTGTCTGTTCCTCCCTCTTTCTTTTTCCACTGGGGACTTGAACTCAGGTCTTCACACAGGGATACATCCTTAGTTCTCCTGTTCTCAGTTCTTTTCTTTTTCTTTTCTTTTCTTTTCTTGAGAACAAAACCAAACAAAATAAAACAGAATAAAGACAATCAAAAGAAAACAGTAAAAGAAATACAGGACCTCAAACAGGATAACTGGAAATCAACAACTACCTTAGTTCTTTATGTTTTTTTTTTTAAGTGTTTTAAAAAATTTGAGTTAGGGTCTTATTAAGGCACTGAAGTTGCCCAGGCTGGGCTTGAACTTGCGCTCCTGACTCAGCCTCCCAGACTGCCAAGATTTGGGCATGGGCAACCATCTGGCTAGGAGTTTTTCTAAGAGATTTGAAAAGTCTTCCCCACAAGGGGGAAATGGTAGCAACACTGGGTTAGAAGTAAAAGCAAAGACTTCTTTTTTTCAAAAGGTTGAAGCAATTGCTAGACTAAAAGTTTTCAAGGGCATGATCCTTCCATGGCATCAGTACTACGATAGTGGGCTCAGCAGGTAGTTCAAAATGTAAGCCAGGTGTGGTAGTGCATGCCCGCGGTCCCAGTACTTGGGAGGGGGAGGCAGGAAGGACTGCTGAGAGTTCAAGGCCCGTGTGAATTACACAGGAGACCCTGTCTCAAAAAACAAAAACAAAACAAAGCAAAAAGAGTCACAGGATCCTCTCTTGGTCCTTTTTTTAAGTTTTTGCTAAGAGGACAGGAAAAACAAGAGAAAAGAGAAAGAAAAATTGGAATACAGTGAGGCCAGTTATTCAAAAACTATCAAGTTGCTGGTGCTCACACAGCTTTTATACGCATAACTTCAAGCCTCAGGAACAGTAATCGCTGCTCAGTATAATCTCACCTTTGGTCATCTTCCATTTTTCCCTACTTAATGAAATTCAGATTCTAAGGGAATGACAAGCTGGCTGGCTGCTTGCCACCATCTTCTTACTAGAGATTAGAAGAGGATTTGCAAATGAGACACACCCAAAGATTGGCTAACTGGAGAGGAAGGAATGCCTAACTGTAGTTAGAAAAGATTTCTGTCAAAGTCTCTGTCTTGGTAACAATAAAATTAACTCTTGTAAAGTGTAAAATTCAATGGTTTTTAGAGCTGTGAATTCATTATTCCTACCTGACTAGTGCATTTTCATTAACATAAAAACAAATAGTATATGCATTAGCAGTCACTCAAAATTCTCCCTCCCTTTGGCTCTAGGTAATCAGTAGTCAATTTAAAATTTTATATATTCGCCTGTTCTTGACATGTCACATGCATGGCATCATACAGCATGTGATCTTTGACCGACTTCCTTCACACAGCATTTTGCAAGGTTCATCCATGTTGTAGCATCCATGCTGCATCATTCCTTCCTTTTTATTGCTAAGTAATATCCCACTGTATGGACATAACACATCTATCACCTCATCAGTTAACAGGCATTTGTACTGTAACCACCTTTTTGCTATGTAGAATGTAAATGCTATGAACATATGTGTACAACTATTTAAATGTCTATATATACAGGTGTGAGATTTCTGGGTCACATGATAACTCCATTTCTGACATTGTAAGGATTTATCAAACGTTTTTCCAAAGGAGTTGCACCATTTTACATTCCCACCAGCAAACTAGAGAGATTTCAATTTCTACACAGCTTTGTCAGTGCTATTTATCATTTTATTTAGCCATTTCTACAATTTCCTGTGGCTACAGTAACAAATTATCACAAACCAGGTAGATTAAAACAACAGAAATTTATTTTCTCTTCATTCTATAGGCTAAAATCATTCTAAAGGCTGAAATCAAGGTCTACCAAAGTCTCAAGAAGAGAATTCATTCCTAGCCCTTTCTAGATGCTCACGGCTGTTGGGATCCCTTAGCTTGTGACCTCTTCTTCAATCTATGCCTTTGTCTCCTTCTTCTTCTCTCTTCCTCCTTCTAAGACAAGGTCTTGCTGTGTAGTCCAGACTGGCCTTGAACTCATAGCAATCCTCCTGTGTCAGCCTTCTGAGTGCTTCTGCCTTCATACTGCCTTCTCTGTCTGGCTTGTGGCTGCATGACTCCGTATCTGTACCTGTCTTTATACAACGTTTCTGTCTCTTTGTGTCTGGTCATGGCTGCCTTCTTATAGAGATGCCAGTCATACTGGGTTAAGGGTCCCCCTTACTGCAACATGAGCTCATCTTAATTACATAAGTAAAGACTCTATGTACACATAAAATGACAGTCTAACGTACCAGAAATTATGACCTCTAAGTTATCTTTTGGGGGGATACAATTAAACTCATAACAGCAACATATTTTAACATTATCCCAGCTTTCCTGGGCTTACAGCCCTAACCATTCCTGTCAGTCAGTCCATCCCAAACTCAGTGTTTATGGCTGTGTCATCACTCCTTGCTACTTAAGTCTCCCCTTAAACATGTTACTAACCACCAGTGACACACTGCACGGAGGGCCAGATCTATCCTAGCCCTGCTGTGGCCTTCCCAGGTACATTACCTTGCCATACCAGCAGCAGTTTAGATTTACACTGTGTATGTTGTAAGGGCAATCCTCCTGCTAGTTACTGCTACAAGCCAGTGATAATTTTCTCAAAAGCACAGTGAGTTCAATACAGGAGAAAATCTTTGGGAAAAGTTAGTAATTCAGACTGTCTTTGCTGTCTCCCTCTCTAATGTCATACTCTGCTTCTCAAAGAATTCCTTGTTCTCTTCTTTATTCTCTTTAACAACGTCTAACTAAGGGATTTACATGGTAGTACACAGTAACTCTAGGCCTGTCTTTCCCCTTAGACTACAACAATGGATATTTTGTACACATCTCTGACCTTCATGTTTTAATCAACACAGTGCTTAGTTCACGCACGTGTCCAGAAGATGGCACCAAAGCAGTAGACAGTGAGAACACTGCCCCCTTATCTGTCAAAGGTTACTTTAAGGGCTAGCCTTTGACTTCACAAGAATAGTGAAAAATGTGTAACCCACACAGAGGTGTACCTTGAAACAATTCCTAAGTCACTTCCAAGTAAAAGTTAATGAGCATCATAATCACCCCAGCTCCCCAGACCCCAAGTGGGAATCTTGGGTTCACAAAAGTGTATCCAAACTCAAACTTGGCGCAGATGCCTTCATGGCACTGCCCATTTCTTGCTTGAAGGTATAACTCTCTATATATCTATTTTACAATAATCCTACCTATGCTTCTGCACAGCCCATGTGTCTAGACTACATTCTTGCATCAAGGGCACAAAGAACTGAGAACTGAGGACATGAGAACCCAGTTTCCTGGTAATACCATTGATTCCTCAGCTTAAAAAGTGACGCTTCCAGTTAGTTAATAGGTACTTAGTAAATTACTTCTAACCCTAATATAATGCCTGACACAAACTACATATTTTAATTCAATTAATCTACACTAGTACCCAAAAAATGACATTCACACTAGTTTTTTAATGCTTCATCCAAGGATTCCTAAGAGATCCCTTCCATAGACTTTTCCTGGATCTATGCTTATAATTTAAATGAAGATAATTAAGATGTTGTTTTATTACTATTCTCTGAGTATACCAGGAAAGTGATGGTTGACTTGTTGATTGTTGTTTTTTCACTCCTCACTCTGGTTTTGCAGGGCATTTAAACACTCAAGATAACTTATTTTGTCCTAATGCAATTTCCAAATAAAGGCGCCGGCAGACTGAAGGAACTGCCAGAGCTCCTCTCACCCAGCCTATTTCCAGGCACCATCTCTCTTTCTCCTCTTGGGGAAGCAAAGAACCATTCAACACGATTTACAAGTGGCTATTCCCATGGCCACGAGTCTGAAACGATAGATAAATACGCGCATTAGATCTGAGGAAAAGTCTTGCTCAGTTCCACTTGAGACCTGGCAGTTAGAAACTTCCTTTGAGTTGGTCAGCATTTTGTACGGTGATTATCTGTTCTAGCCCTCTATACCATCCCTCTCTCAAAAAAGCTGTAAAGTGTATTAAGCCTGAATTTTGGTTCTCCATCTCCGGTGCCAGTACGACGCTAATTAAAATATTTGCGAAATAAACGAAACAGACGAGTTGTGTCTTAAGTTTTGAACCTAAACAGATTTGCACCCCCAAGCAAGTGATTCCACCTCACTGGAACTGTTTTCCTCGGACAGTTCGTCTAAAACGCTGTCGGAATCTTGCCACAAACCCAGTGTTCCTTGGCGTTTGGTTACCCACACTGACTTAAAGGAAAGAAAAAAAGAGGAAGAAATAGGTCCCCGACAGGAGTCTTGCTTCAGCAGGGCGAGTGGAGACCCCTGGGCACCACTTACTCTCCGGAAGCCAGGGGGTCATGTAGCTAAGGATGTGAGTGGGGTCCAGACTCTTCCGGACATAGTCGCTGTAGGCTTGCAGGTTGTGCCTCTGCTCCGCCGTCATCTCTCACCTCCGCAGATGGCCTGGCCTGGCTGCACTGGAACTGAGGACGAGGCTAGGGTGGTCCCAAGAAATCCATCCCGAATAAGAGGCGGAGCTGCCTGGGAACTTGTAACTACAGAGGAGAAACCGAAACTGCAACTGGCCGCGGTGGCTGAAGAGCAGGGACTAGGCGCGCTCAGCCCGCAGCAGCACCGCCCAGTTTCGTTTCCTAACGAGCCCAGTGGGGGCGCTGACTCATGGGACTGCAGAGCGCTCCTGGGAACTGCACTTCGTTTTTGTCGTTTTGTTTGCTGTAACAGGAAAGTTTAGGGACAGTAACTTGCACAGTTTAAGTGTTCAATTCGAGGAATCTTGGAAGATGTTTAACACCTGTAATTACTACTGTACTCCGAAATGAGGACCCGTATGGTAAATGTGTGTTTTAACTTTATAGGAAGAAGTTGTTTTCTTAAATGGCCAGAGCAGTTTCCAGTTTCAGGCTCAGAAAATTCCAGTGCATACTGATTTGCTAGATCAACACACTTGGCAGTCTTACTATTGTTGCTAAACTTGCTTCTGGGTTAGTGTGAGTTACAGTGGTTTTAATTGCAAATTTCCCGCATAGCCATGATGTGGGGCACATTTTCATGTTCTTTTAGGGCACTCATATGACAACTCTTTGAAGCTTCTACTACTGTCTTTTGCCTGATTTTGGAGCTTTTTAAAATAAACTTATAGGACTTAATTACTGGGGATACAAAATTGTCAAATACACATACTCAAAATATCTTTTGCCAGTCTGTGGTTTACCATTTCATTTTTAGAAAGATGTCCTTTCTGTAGCAAGTTTATATCTCTGAAACTTAATTTATCAGGTTTTTTCTCTATGAGGTCATGAAGGTATTCTATAATTTGTTTTAAGAACGTATTTTAGCTTTTACTTCTAGGTCTACGACTAGCTCTAATTTTGTAATGGTACAACACACAGATCCTGGATCATTTTTTCAAAATTTCTAATTGCACCAGCACCATTTGTTGAAAATTTTTTGTTCTTCCACTGAATAGCCTTGGGACCTTTGAAGAAATCAATGTATCATGTGTAGTTCTATTCCTAACTATTGTCTTTCATTACATTATCTAATACCTGTAACAATACCACTCTCTTGATTCTTGTAGATTTCAGTAAATCTTCCAATCAGGTAGTATTGAATATTCCAAATTTGTTCCACATTGTTGTTACTACTGTATTGGCTACTCTAGGTTCTTCATATTTTCATATGAAATGAAGGATCAACTTCTCAATAAAAGAAAAAAAAACCTGTTGGAATTTTATCACTTTTGCATTGAATCTACAGATGAATTCCCAGAGAACTGATATTTTCATGATATTGCATCTTCTTATCCATAAGCATGGTATTCCTTTTGTTTACTTAGGTTGTTAATTTCTCTCACAATGTTTCATAGTTTTAAGAGTACAAAAAAAATTTTTTTTTTCATGGATTGAACCCAGGGCCTTACACTGAGGTACATCATCCCTTTTGTAACTTTTTGAGACAGTCTCACCAAATCCCTAAATTGCCCAGGTTGAGTGGGAACTTCCCATCCTCCTGCCTGGCCTCCTAGAGTTCTAGGGTTAAAGAGTACAGATCTTATATATATATTACAATTGATTTATCATTGGTCATTTTTTGATGCTACTGTAAGTGGAATTATTTTTAAAATTTCATTTTCAGATTGTGGCTACTATTTAGAAATCCAAGTGACTTTGTTTATTAAACTTTTATCATACAACATTACTAAAATCATATTAGTTCTAGTCATTTTTCTGTGGATTTCTTAAAATTTTTCTGGTTAAAAAAAATCGTGTCATTTGCAAATACAGTTTTGCTTCTTCCTTCCCAAGCTGATTTTCATCTGCTTTCCTGATAGTTTTACTTCTTTTCCAATCTTTATGTTTTTTGCTTCATTTTCATTCTTTATTGTATCACCCAGGGCATCCAATAGAAAGTTGAGTAAAAGTGATGAGAGTTGACATCCTTACCTTGTAATCTCAGTGGAAAAAATGATCATTGTTTCACCTAAGCTTTTCTTAGAGGCCCTTTATCAGATCAATGAAATTCTCTCATTATTCCTGTTTTGTTTTCCAAATTTTTGTATTAAAATTTTTTTCCTGTATCTATTGAGGTGATCATATATTCTACTAATTTCACTTATTTTTCTTCTTATGTGTTGGTGCTGGGATTAAACAGAATCTCATGCATCCTACGCAAGCACTCTACCGCTGAACTACATCTCCAACCCTTGTTTTTGATTTTTGAATGTTAAAAGCTAGCTAGCATTCCTGGAATAAATCCCACTTGGTCATGAAGTACCAACATTTTATGTATTTCTGGATTTAGGTTGCTAGTATTTTCATATGTCTTTGTGTGTCTATATTCATGCCAGACATCGATGTGTAATTTTCTTGTAATGTCTTTGTCAGGTTTTGATGTCAGGGTATAAACTAAGAGTTTATGGGACTGTTATCATTTCTCCCTAAAATGTTTAATAGAATTCACCTATAAACCATTTGAAGTAGTGATATATGTGCACCTATGTTTATAGCAGCACAATTTGTAATAGCTAAATCTTGCAAACAACCCAAATGTCCATCAACCACAGAGTGAATGAAAAAGATGTGGTATTTTTATACAATGTATTATTATTCAACTATAGGAAGGATGATCTTGAGGCTTTTATAGATAAATGGAAGCAACTTGAGACTATCCTCATATGTGAAATAAGACTCACATTTGTAAATATCACATCGTCTCTCTAGTGTAAAAAATAATAAAAACTGAAGGAGTAATCAGATCCAAAATGTATACTAGATTTTGTAGATGAAAAGGAAGTGCTCTAAAGGATATAACTGTATGTATAAGTGTGTAAGATAGAAAATATACTACTAAGTTTTTGTTGTTTATCAAACAGAATGGCTTGTACTGTAATTGTCCACTTTTTATTCTTTGATTTTATAACAAACTGTTTCTAAGATGACAATATGCAATTTATCAACTAGTGATTTCTTAGTGTTTTTTTTTTAAATTCTGTAATATTTCTACCTTTTTTGTTTTTTTCTCTAAATAAAAAAAACAAACCATTTGAAGCCAGGCATGGTGGCTGTAACCTCATTACTCAGAAGCCTGAGGCAAGAGGATCACTAGGTTCAAGGAGATTCAACAGGATCACTGAATTCAAGGAGTTCTTCATAATGTTGCAGGCAGCTGAGTTAGTTAGAAATATTATAGGCAATGAGACAGGGCTAGTGCATAAGCCCAGATACCTTGCAACTGTGGGGGAGACAGACATCTCCTGTGGGCCATGCCTCAAGACAAAGGATCAAACAAATGTATCCACATCCTATCACCCTTAAGGGATTTATTAATTTTAGTTTTTCTTTTCAAAGAACCAACATTTGCTTTGACAATTTTCTTCACTGTTATTCTACTTCCTATTTCATTGATTTCTGCTGTAGTGATTATTCTTTTCTCCTTGCCTTGGTAACATGAAGTTACCATTCTTTCACTAGCTTCTTAAAAACAGACACCTAGATCACTGAATGTATATACTTTCTATTCCAGTTTAAGCATTTAAGTCTGTAAATTTTCATTTTTTTAAGCCAAGATATTCTAGTGTCTCCTAAATTTCATCTATTGTGTTGTAATGTCTATTTGACATAGTTGCTAAAGCTCTTTGACTTCTTGAACTTGTAAATTACTTAGAAGTGTGCTTTAGCTTTTCAAATACTGAGAATCTTCTTAAAAAGCTTAAACAGGAGAGGGGCTTAGAGGTTAGAGAAAAAGCAATAACAAACAGGCTGAGATAACCAGATGAAAGAACTAATTAGCAAGCAGGAAGTTGTGAGTTTGATCCCTGGTACCGAGAAAATTAGAAAGAAAAAAAAAAGAACTAATTAGAATACAAAGACTTCAAAAACACTATTAGCAGCCAGGCCTGTTTGCACACACCTATAATTCCAACAATGGGAGGCTCAAGTAGGATTATTATTAACTTCTGATTTTAATCTGTTCTGGTCAGAGCTTACTTGCTGTGAAATTTCAATCTTTTATAATGTACCAAAACTCATGTTATAGCCTAGTATATGAACCATCTCGATATCATTTCAGATGCAAGTAAGAAGAAAGGGCATTCAGCAGTTCTTAGCTGTAGTATTATATTTCAATTATGTCTAAATGGTTTACAATTAGTTCAATCTTCTATATCTGTACTGATTTTATTTGTTCTGTCAAGTACTGAGAAGGAAGATTTAAAATCTCCAGCTTTCATTATTAATTTGTCCCTTTTGTTCTTAGTTTTTGCTTCATAATTTATAGCTGTCTTTATGAAGCAAGAAGATAGGATGTGACTAAAACTAGCTGGACACGGAGGTATAACAAGGTCCCAGAACACACACACAAAACAATTCTCAGGACCCTGCATGTGGATTTCTCGTGAGAACTCAAGCAGGTTTTTGATAGAATGACCTAGACATGACACCAGTGTGGGAATATAAAAAAAAGGGACAGTTACCATTAAGTCTTCACTGTCATGTCCCTTCATGGTAGCCTACCCTACGCTGTAGGGCGTGTCTTTGTTTTTTCCCCTTTTTCTTTTACTTGGCCCAAACTGACTCTGAAGTTATTTTCCTATCTCCAAATATGAAACTTTGCCACCACTTAATGCTTGTTTTGTTCAGTGTTTTGCAAAATTCCTAAGATGGAATCACTAATGCCCCTTAGGCTCCACCCCAAACCTAAACTACATGTATGCTCCCACTCCACGTGTCCCACAGAGATCGCCACCCCCGGGGGGCGGGGGAGAATGCCAGCCCTGGGGTACTATGCCGGACCCGTCGGGGGATCTCTCCCTGCATTCTTTTTTTTTTTTTTTTTTGTCTTTTTCGTTTTTACCGGTACCAGGGATCAAACTCATGACTGCCTGCTTACAAGGCAGGCACTTATGCCGCTGAGCTAAATCCCCAGCTCCCCTCCCTGCATTCTTAAAATAAAGGTCATTTATATTTCATACCTATCTTTTAAGCCGTGCCACAATTCTTTCACTTTATATATCTTTTTTTTTTTTTAAGAGGAAAAAAACACAAAACAAAACAAAGCGGTGTAAGGGTACACGTAATACA